AGCTAAAGGAGGCCAACAAGCAGAGGACGTATATCGCTGCTGTCAAGGATTTGGATTTCTGGTTGGGCGAGGTCGAGAGTTTGTTGACCACTGAGGATTCTGGTAAGGATTTGGCATCAGTACAAAACCTAATGAAGAAACATCAGTTGGTCGAAGCGGATATCGTTGCGCACGAAGACCGCATCAAGGACATGAACAACCAGGCCGATTCCTTGGTCGAGAGCGGTCAATTCGATACTGCTGCCATCCAGGAGAAGCGTCTAAGCATTAACGAACGCTACGAACGCATCTGTAATCTTGCTGCCCATCGTCAAGCGCGTCTCAATGAGGCACTGACTCTGCATCAATTCTTCCGCGATATTGCGGACGAGGAGAGCTGGATCAAGGAGAAAAAGCTGCTCGTCGGTTCTGATGATTATGGACGCGACTTAACTGGTGTGCAGAATCTTAAGAAGAAGCACAAGCGCCTCGAAGCCGAGTTGGCCTCCCATGAGCCGGCTATACAAGCTGTACAGGAGGCCGGCGAGAAGCTAATGGATGTTTCCAATTTGGGTGTTCCTGAAATTGAGCAACGTTTGAAGGCTTTGAATCAGGCTTGGTCAGAACTCAAAAATTTGGCTGCTACACGTGGTAAAAAACTTGATGAATCGCTCACCTATCAGCAATTCTTAGCCCAGGTCGAAGAGGAGGAGGCCTGGATCACAGAAAAGCAGCAACTGCTCTCTGTGGAGGATTATGGTGATTCGATGGCCGCCGTGCAGGGTCTCCTTAAGAAGCACGATGCCTTCGAGACTGACTTTTCTGCCCACAAGGATCGCTGTTCGCTAATCTGTGAGCAGGGCAGCGACCTGGTCGAAGCCAAGAATCATCATGGTGACTCCATTGGACAACGTTGCCAGCAGCTGCGCAATAAGCTCGATAACTTAAATGCTCTAGCCGCACGCCGTAAGGGCGCATTGTTGGACAACTCGGCGTACTTGCAGTTCATGTGGAAGGCGGATGTGGTCGAGAGCTGGATCGATGACAAGGAGAACTATGTAAGATCCGATGAATATGGACGTGATTTGTCCACTGTGCAAACGCTATTGACCAAGCAGGAGACATTCGATGCAGGTAATAGATATCAATTATGACTCGATAATAAGCGACTAATCAACATTTCTCCTCTGTAGGTCTCAATGCCTTTGAACAGGAGGGCATTCACAATATTAGCGCTCTGAAGGATCAACTTATTAATGCCAACCATGCTCAGTCGCCGGCTATATTGAAGCGTCATGGCGATGTGATTGCGCGTTGGCAGAAATTGCGCGATGCATCGGACACGAGGAAGCAACGTTTGCTGGCCATGCAGGAGCAATTCCGCCAAATCGAGGAACTCTATTTGACATTTGCCAAGAAAGCTTCGGCCTTCAATTCTTGGTTCGAAAATGCCGAGGAGGATCTCACAGATCCTGTTCGCTGCAATTCGATCGAAGAAATACGCGCACTGCGTGATGCCCACGCCCAATTCCAAGCGTCTCTGTCGTCGGCCGAAGCAGACTTTAAGGCATTGGCAGCACTCGACCAGAAGATCAAGAGCTTTAATGTTGGACCAAATCCCTACACCTGGTTCACCATGGAAGCTCTTGAGGAGACCTGGCGTAATCTGCAAAAGATCATAGAGGAACGCGATGGCGAACTTGCCAAGGAGGCCAAACGACAGGAGGAGAACGACAAGCTACGCAAGGAATTCGCCAAGCACGCAAATCTCTTCCACCAATGGCTAACCGAAACAAGGTGAGTGAACTAAACCATTTTCCAGTCCAGTCTAGTGTGTTGCTATTGGTGTCGGTTTCTTCATTCCTTCATCCAATCCAATCCAACTCAATTCAATTCTTGTTAACGAAAACAAACTCTTGTGGTTACCCCTGTGAAATCTCGCGTAATTTCGTTTTATCTCAAATAATTTCGTAACTGAAATGCTCAATTCTGTTCTTCTAGATATTATATGCTGGGTTATAATCGTCAAGGGTAATTAAGAAGAAACGAGAGGGACATCCACATCTCTGCGTTTAAATTTTCCTTAGTTTCTCTTGTTTTGTTATTGTTTTATTTCCGTTGCTGTTTCTGTCTGGCTAAAAGATTAACCGCCGCTGCGTTACTCAACTAACAGCAAAAACTAAAAATTTATATATCTATATAAAATTGATATGGAGTTAGCTTCTAGCTAATCCTTTGTACATATATATTTTACTTAGAAAAACAAAGATAATATATTTAATGCAAAATCTAGTTCTAGTTCAAGCAGCATTTAGCATCGATAAATCAAACGATTTCTTAACTATCGATAAGTTTAGCGTTCGATTCAGTCCAAATTCTACTTTTTAACTTATTTTTTCTATTCCAATCGATAAAAAAAACTTAAATGCAGCATGTAACAAACAAAGTAGCATAAAAGAAAACAACAAAAGTAGTAAATGCGAATTTTGCATTCAATTTTTTCGTTTGATTAGCTTTAACAATATATGTTGGCTTTTTTATTTTAACTCGCTTTATAGTGATGTTTTGTCTTAATTAGTTGCTGAATATAAATATTTCAAAATTGTATTTTTCAATTTCTGAGCGCAGAAAAGTTTTTGAAAATTTTTGTATGCCAAAAGTTTTTTGAAATTCGTCCTTTTAATAATTAATTATTAATTAATTAATTATAAAACAAATTGGCTAAAATTAATACACATTTGTAAATGCCAAAGTTATTTTCAAATACATTTTTACAAAATTTTCTAATTATTTAAAAAAAATTCCAAGCGCTCTGCTTAACTTTCGAATGTGTTTGCTGACGAATTTTTAGAAAATGGTTTGGCAAAAGTTTTTAAAATTCGTACACACACTCGTTATACCGACTACTACACTTGTATATATATATAAATGAAACATTCAAGGACAACAACAAAGTATTAGAAGAATTTAAAAACAACAAACTGCCGCCCTTAACCACAGACCTCTAACAAGATTTGCTTTTCTTATATGCATTATAAACCATAATAAATTAAAGACGAAAAAATATATATATATTTAAAAATGCTTTGTGCTTTACTAATAAAATGCTTTTCCGTTTCGAATACGAAAATTTACAAACAAATTTTGCGAACAGAACTTCGATGATGGAAGGCTCTGGTTCATTGGAGCAGCAACTGGAGGCGCTTCGCGTCAAGGCCACGGAGGTGCGTGCTCGTCGTGTGGATCTAAAGAAAATCGAGGAACTGGGCGCCCTGTTGGAGGAGCATTTGATTTTGGATAACCGCTATACCGAGCATTCGACAGTGGGGCTGGCCCAACAATGGGATCAGTTGGATCAGCTATCGATGCGTATGCAACATAATTTGGAACAACAGATACAGGCACGCAACCATTCGGGCGTCTCAGAGGATTCGCTTAAGGAATTCTCCATGATGTTCAAGCACTTCGACAAGGATAAGAGCGGCAAATTGAATCATCAGGAATTCAAATCATGCCTTCGCGCCCTTGGCTACGATCTGCCCATGGTTGAGGAGGGTCAACCGGATCCCGAGTTCGAGGCCATTCTCGATGTCGTCGATCCCAACCGCGATGGCTATGTCTCATTGCAGGAGTACATTGCCTTTATGATATCCAAGGAAACCGAGAATGTACAATCCTACGAAGAAATTGAGAATGCTTTCCGCGCAATCACCGCCGCCGATCGTCCCTATGTTACCAAGGAGGAGCTCTACTGCGTAAGTTTCTTTAAATAAAGCTGTTTATAAATATAAATATATTAAATATATATTCTTATCTCGTTTAGAATCTTACCAAGGACATGGCGGACTACTGTGTACAGCGCATGAAACCCTTCTCCGAACCGCGCTCTGGCCAGCCCATTAAGGATGCTTTAGATTACATAGATTTTACGCGAACGCTATTCCAGAATTAATTTCGATGCGCCTGAGAAAATGTCTTACAATATATTTCTAAACAAAAATATACACATATATATTTACACGATTATTTTCGATGATAATTTTCTAGTAATTAAGTCAACAGAATGCAATTTATGCTTATTTAAGTAAAAAATGCCAGAATGAACCCAAAAACACGTTCTATAGATGCTGACATAAACTGGCTGCTATATAACAACATAATTTGTACTTTCTACACAAGCTGACAGCTATAGATACTTATATTGGTAGCTTTTGCATTTATGTATGTCTTTATATAGCCCCACACAAAAAAATACAGAAAATATCTGAAGCTCTTTAACCATGATCAAAAATTAGCCTCAGTAAATATTAAAAATATGCCCTTAAATTTAAAATCATATGCAATAAAATGTCGTACTCTAAAAGCTTCGCTTCCAATATGACTACCCAAATATTGGCTAAAAATTCAACACAATATAAGATACAAAAACCAATAAATACAAATTTTATAACTCCCAGTTTCTATGATCGGCAACTAATACGAAATGCAAGTAGTAAAATATGCAAAAAAAATATATATAAAAAATATTTATAAAAAAAAAATAAAAATTACTATTTGCCTCTATTTACACTTCAACAAATTTGCAAATAAAAATATATTGCTGCATGTCTAAAAATGTTAAAAATAAATGTGTTTTAATTTTGAAAATTTAATTTCAGTTTTTTTAATGCTTTGAACTGATTGAAGTAGTTAAATTTACAAATTGAAAAGGAACATTTTTAAATTCGAATGTTTACAGTTTGATAAACGATCAAATATAAACAAAAGAAATATACAATACATAAAAAAAGTATGGAAATTAAATACATTGTTGGATGTCTAAAGTTATAATATAATGTGTTTTATTTAAAAAATTTGCTTGAATCCAAACAAAAACATAAAGTTTTCATTACACAAGTGGTATAACAATTTTTGAAATTTGCAAAAGAAAAAGGAAATCGTTGGGAATCAAAAGCATGAAAAGCTAGCGAACTACCAAACAAATTTCTATTAAATAAATGCATTTTCATTTTTTATCTTCGTTTTATCTTTTATTCTTCAGACCATCTTCGTAAACACATACATTAATAAAAATTAAATCAAGAATTTTTTTATGCTTTCCGCATAGGCATTATTTAATTTTTTGTTTAGCGTCTCCTTGGGCAGCCATTCGTATGGGATCGTTTGCTGCTCCACATTCACATTGCCGGCACGTAGGGAGGCGCGATAGAAGAAGATCTTGGCCCCAACGCTTTCCAAGCGCTGCTTGCTGGGATATTTGTACTTGTGGAAGCCAACAGGTGCATTGCCATAGAAGAGAACTTGCAGATCTTTGCCACAGCGTTCACTTAACACACGTTCCGCTGTCTGCCGCATGGATTCGCCATCTTTACGCAGTCCCTGCGGTAGCACGAAATGCTCCCGCTCACCAAGTTTTTGCTTGATCACCAAATATAGCGTATCCTCCAGGCAACGATTTGTGGAAGTAAGCTTCTTGGCGTCATCGTCGGGCGTGGTACGTGAAGCGACTTGAAACTTCTTCAGCTCCTCCTTGTAGGCATCTTTCAGGTCTTGGGCTGTTTGCTTGGTCACCGAGTCATCGAGGTCCACCTGCACTTTACCCTGCTTAATTAGCTCCTTCTGCACTAAATCACGCTCATGCTTTAATTCAAAATCAGATTTAAGACTGTTCTCGTACTCCACTTGAGACAGAAGGTCTTGAAATTGACGCTCCAAGGGATTTAATGTCTTGGATATCACGGGCAATCGTTCAACTAGAATACCAGCATACAGATCCCATTTATCCTTGGCGGCATGTGTCGAAGTGGACTGTGCGCGGGTCAGTTGCTTGGAACTAATTTGTGTTAGGCGGCGTAGCATTTTAAGTCTTAATTTGTATTTTTTACCAAGCAAACTAGTGTGCCTTCTTCTGTTACATGAGCATAAGGCGAATGGCGAGCAGCTGATCGTCTACCGATAGTAAATTTTTGTTCTTCAATATCATATCGATAGCAATATTTTTTTATTTTGGTAAAAACATCGCTTAAACAGCTAATACAATTCCCGGCTTGCAATTCAAGAACAGCTGCTCGACAGCCGATAACATATTTGTCTTCATTCGATAGCACGATAATAATTCCAAACGTTTTGCGAGGACGAACATTCGCGTTGCTTTTATTTAAACAATTTAATTTTCGCTTTAAGAGCTGACACAATGTCTGGCTTGGAGTCGTACATTAACCACACAGTCTCCATTATCACGGCGGACGGGCGCAACTTTATAGGAACACTTAAAGGCTTCGACCAGACCATAAATATCATCATCGACGAATGCCATGAGCGCGTTTTCTCCACAACGTCGGGCATTGAGCAAATTGTGCTCGGTCTTCACATAATCCGTGGCGACAACATTGCTGTTATTGGACTGATAGATGATACCATCGACTCCCGGCTGGATTTGGCAAACATCAGAGGCGAGCCACTGGGACCAGTAGTGCATTGATTGTAAACGTAGTTATAGTTCGAATAAATTCATGAAATTTTGATATTTATTGATATAGCTATTCAATTTCCATACTAAATTTGACTTGGCGGCAATCTAGAGTGGCCAAATCTATAACTGCAATGCTCTGGGTTTTCGAGAAGCTTGGCAGGCAGACGAGACGCGTTCTCTTGCCATCGGAGCCGACATGCAAGTCCGTTTCGAACTTTTCACAGTTGCCCGCAAAGTACAAGTGTGGGCATTCCTTCATTATAAATGGATCGCTGCTTATGTATGGATAGCAGGCCAATGTATCCGGCGCTGTGGGAGCTACATGGCCCCATTTAAGCGTACAGCGAAGAGCTTCGAGTGAGGAGTCCAACGAAGTACTCCTCAGCAAATCGGCGATATTCTGACCAGAAGTTCCCACTACAAGAGCGCTATCCAGTCGACAGACATAAGGATTGGCAACAGATTGAAAGGATGACAATTGAGCAGCCAGTGGAAACATGCATTTGTGAAAGGGCTGCTGTGGCAGCATAAAATTAGCCGGATCGTATGCTCCAGGCATCACATCCACGTGAATAGCTTTTGCCCATGATGCAAACCAGTTGTCCAATTGGCTAATTGCTTGAACAGTATCATTAGCATTCGCTTGTTGGCGTGCCACTTGAAGGGTGGGCACATGAGCCATAGCCGAGCTTCGCACGGAATTGCCCGCAACGATAAGTCGAACCTGGGTCTGAGCCTCAGAGTGATTGCCAAAGCATCCGCTTAACCAGTATTGAAACATGTTCAGGGCCTCTACATAATTATGCGACTGCAACTGATCCAAGCCAGAGATTAGAACCAACTTGCTGCCCTCTTTCTTTACATTCAGCGGCTTCTGTGGTCCACTTTCCAGGAAGAGCAGATTTTCCACATTAAAAAAGCCGTCACTGTCTGTGCCACCTTTAACAGCACAAACGATGCCCGTGGCCAGTTTGTAGGAGTCTAAGAATTCGCCACCCTGCAGTCGCACTCGCTGCAGTTCATCCTCTAGAATTAGCTTGTCTTCCGGCTCGGAGTAGTTTTGTCTTTGCGGTTGTGGAGCCAACTGATTTTCCTCAGAGATGTCACGTAATATGCTTGGCTTGTGAGCTTGATGCTTGTAAATGGTGCCAATGATGATGCACTGGACATTTTGTTCGCCGCGCAGCTCACAAAGCTTCATTATGGGCACCTGTGTGCCCCATTCCTTCAGAGCAAGCGGCGTCAATAGGCGCGTCATTTCGGCCAAGCGGTGTGTGTACAAATGACAGAACTGCTTTTGATAATCGGTGGTCGTCAGCAAAAATGAACTGCTCAGGTTCTCATAGGCACAGTTTAAACGAGTGGCCATATTGATTTGTTTATTTATTTAATTACTTTTGTATCACATTCAGCATTTGCGCGCCAACAAAACACAATGCAATTGGCGATTGCAAATCGTGAACGATGTACGCTTAATAGTATCGATGGTATATCGTCACTGAGTCTGCAATGTAGCCCTGGTACATCGGAAGACAAACGTCGTATCGATAGCCAATCGACGACCAGCTGATAATCAGATTAACTCGTTTACAATTTACAGCGTAGAAAAAGTTTTGGGTGTTTTGTAATAAAACGCTTTTTTAAATGCATTTAAACAATGTTTTCGATTAATAAGAACGCAAGCCACATGTTCAACTACAAATGGCAAAGTCTAATGATATGCGTGTGTAGTGCCAAGTGTTGATTAGTGTGAATGCGTGCAAGCTCGTTCTCTGTATTGATTTTTTACACAAAGCTCCAATTCCGAATCTCAATTTGTGAGACTCCCGTCTGGCTAGCTGGCTGGCTGGGTAGAGGCGACAGAGAGATATGGGCGGCTCGGTGAGCCAAGTGTTTCGTTCGGGCTCGGCATTGCTCTCACATCGAGATGGCCATAAGGTCTCCAAGGCGACAGAGGAGAAAATCCAAACGCTTTTCGAAATACTGCGTGCCAATCCAAAAATCTCATTGCAAACGCTAGAGAGTCTGCTAATACAGATACCCAAAAATGAGAATATCCTGGTCATACATGACGACTGCGGCTACAACATATTGCAGCGCAGCGTTGGACTCAATCACATCGATCTCACCAAATGGCTGCTCCATCGCCATCGACCAGATGTTAACCGAGCACCCTGCTCCCTACCATTGCATATTGCCACGCTACGTGGTTACGAGGAGTGTGTGGAGCTGCTGTTGAGGCACGGAGCTCGCATTGATGCAGATACAAGAATGTGCTTTCCAGGTGCACATTCGCATAACTGCGAGGAGAGTGGCAAGTGGCATAGCAATGTGGATGATGTGAGCGAAAGGCTGAATACGAAGCTGCAGAATGCCCTCTGCTATGCTATTGATGGTAGATATAATTGAATTATATCAATAATGAACTCCTAAGTGTGGCTCTCTTTCTTATTAGGCGATCAGTACAATGTGCTAAGCATGATGACACAAAAGATGGAGGAGCCTTGGATACCATTTAGGGCTAAGAAGCCTCTGCTCCATTTGGCCTGTGAGCGTGGCGCTTGGAATTGTGTGCAGCAGCTTGTGGTGACACGATCGGAAGAGATAAACCTGATCATGGATGAATATTATCCCATACACCATGCTGTGCTCCATGATGGACGCTTTCTTGAGCTGCTTATACAACATGGTGCAATAACCACAGTGAGAACTTGTACACAGCAAATGACCCTGCTGCATGTTGGTGCGTCTTTATATCTCCTAATTGGCTATGAAACAATTATTAAACAAACTCTTTTGTCTTGCAGTTATATTTGCCGCTCGCAAATCGGCCGAGGATACGCAGGCTACATTGCGTATATTGCTTGATCGCGGATGTAAGGAGTTAATAAATGCGCCCGACTCGTTAGGCAATACGCCTTTACACGCTTTAATTGTGCGCTATGCATTAGAGGAGGCACGTTATGGCTATGATAAGTGGAGCAAATGGGATGTATTGCATTTGGTTAGATTTCTGTTGCAGAGTGGAGCTAAGCCTTCTATCAATCAGGCAGGCAACAGTGCCATGGCTTGCGTATTTCGTCATTTGCGTGATTGGGAGGTCTGCTACGAGCTGCTAAATATGCTTATCCGAGAAGATGGTAAGTTGTGGAGCTCTTTAATGATCAAATATGACATAATTTTAAATATTCTCTCTGTAGGTGATCCAAATATTGTGGGCCGTGACGGTTCAGTGCCTATTATGGTGCTACTGGTGCCTTTGATTAACAAAGATCACCTACATCACTTTACGCATTCAATGAAGGTGAGTTTTCTGCTCGCCCGCCCACACAGAGTTATAATATAGCTTTACTTTGGTTTTAGGTCTGCTATTTGAATTGCATTCGCATCTTGTTACAACATGGCGCAAATCCCAATTGTTCGTACAGAGCAAATTTAAAACCTTTGCACGTGCTGGTCTTTACGGTCAGTGAGAATTTTACGCTTAACTGTGATGCACAGAAACGCACAAACTTTGATTTTATTAAGAATATATTGCTGCTGCTGCTGCAGCATGGCTTGGACTGCAATAAAACATATCAGCACATTCTGCAGGCCGTTATGGATATGGTCCAGAACGTACGCACTTGCCAGGATATGGAATGCATCTATGAATTAACCCTGACGCTCATACAATATGGAGCCGATCCAAATATTGTGCTGAGCAGCAAAACAACACCTGGCATTGCGATTTTCTCTAGCGAAATTGCCAGCTATGGCGAAGCGCTAGGTGCCGCTGGAGCTGGTCCCGGTGCAGGTGCTGGTGGAGGTGGAGCAGCAGGTGGGGCAGGTGGTGGAGGCGCTGCATCTGCTGCACTGGGCGACAATACGTTTCGCAACTCATTTCGCACAAATTCACGCTATCTGCTTTTCTACTATATTATACTGATAACGAAAAAAGAATTTATACTCAACGATCCGCAGCTGACATTCACGCGCATCATTCATCTCTTCTATCTAACTATGGAGCATGATCCGCTCTACAATTGCCTCAAGTCTTTGCACAATTTCTACGTTGCCCAAGTGCCCAACAAAAAGACCGAACAACTAATTGCCCTTATCTCCACGCTCTATCGAAGGCCACGCAGTCTTAAGCAGCTGGCACGCATGGCCATTTACGAGGCAATGAACCGAAAGCTGGCACAGAATGTAAATCGTTTGAATTTGCCGGGTCCGCTAAAGGATTATGTGCTGCAATTTGAAAGATAACAAGTGCAAGCAATTGACATAATATATAACATAGAGCGTCGTCGAATGTAAACCCTTTAACGACCAATGACTTGACTAATTAGAATCAACTGCAACCAATCATTATTGCAATCGTTTTGTTGCCCTTTAAGCTACATACATATATCACTGACCATACAACACTTAAATGGGACAAACTGAATATCGTATTTGATTGGCTCTCTTAATTTAGAAAGCGCAACTGCTAGGGGCCATAAGCCTAGTGCGATTGAGCGGGATAGCCACTCTCTTTTTTGCTTACTCTCAAATCTGTATGATTGTGTATGTGTGTGTGTGTGAGTATGTGTGTGGAAGCACAGCCAGCGATGCACACTTTCTATTTAGAGTACGAAGTATTGCAAAATAGTTGAAGGATTAGTAACGCTCATAGGAAAATTTTAATCTTTGCATCATTTGTGAAAATCAACAATGTTAAGATCTTTTGCTGTTGATAAAGTTTGTTATAGATGCCCCATCTATCTGTTTAATGGGTTAGTGGCTATGTGTAATATGTTACATACTGTTATTATATACCTAAACACACAGTATATATAAAACATACATATATATATATCCATGCATTATATAATTATTATGAAGATAAGATATGAAAACGCTTAAATGTACCTACAAAAAAAAGAAAGATCATCAAAATCAAACATGTGCAATTTCTTTTATATGAATCTATTGTTCAAAACGCTCATAACTAAATTATTGTATTCTGAAAAATTCAATTGTATAACCTTTACGGCCCACCCTCGCCCTTAAGCTATTTCTTATGCCTATAAAAATACCAAATAACAGAAAAACACAATTTCTCACACATTTACACACACACATTTACATTTACTGACATCTGCATAAAGTTAAGGCTGTTTTTTGATGAACAATTCGGGGTTCTCTTTTTAGAATATTGTATATTTGAAGGCAATTTAACAAGTGTTGTACATACATAAATATATACATATATTTATGTATATATATTTATAATTATTATTGTAATTATTGTTGCTTAAAACAAAAAATTGTTAATCTGATCTGTAATGTCATTTGCAATCGAATTGGAACCGATAGCAATATCGGCAAATTAAATAAATGCAAAACACACACAATTATGCAAAACGGATCTTTGAATAGGCAAATCGAACTGGAGCCGATAAGAATATCATTGTTATCGGCAAGTTAAGCAAGTACTAATACATACATACCTACACAAAGGGAAATTTCAATACGACAAATGAACTGGAACCAATGCAATCCACAATACAAATGCATACACACATATGCAAAACTGGAATTTCAAAATGGACGCTAACGCCTTTTACTACAGGAAGTGTCTAGAAATAATAAAGAATGACAACAAAAAAACGAATACACAGAATTTATATATATATATTTTTGTCAATATATATGTATTCAAGTTGCCTTAGTAACGATTAACAGGACATTCGAATTTGTTGCAAGTTTATTTGCAACGCTCAGATATATATTTTTCACATGAGCAGCAGGTGCAGCATAAAGGGAATTAACAGTTAGCCGGCCTGCATCATGTATAGCCGTAAGCTGGAGCAGATGCATCGTCCGTCCTCGGACATTACGAAATACGACGATGAGCCATATTTGAAGAACGCGCTGCTCACCTTTCGACTTTCCGAAGTGCACGAGAGACGCCACTTTGTGTTCCTCAAGCAACGGGCGGCGGACATCAAAGTGAAGATTTCGAAAAAACCTTGGATACCAGAGCCCGATATGCGACCGCTACCACAGGTGCACTACATCGACAATTTACGGCGCGAGGTGCGTAAAATTGCTGTGCCGCGCATGCTCCGCAAAACGGAAGCCAAGATCTTAAGCTTCGCACAGGAGCGACTGAAAATCAAGTATCCAGAACTGGTTAAGGCGTACATGGCTGATGTGCACGGAGAATACGATCGGCTAATGAAAATCTATAGCATGAAGAATATATTGCAGCATCCCGAATTTTCTGACGAAGATCCAACCAAGTTTGATTTACCTCATGCCGATTTTCTTTCCAGTCTACCAGGACGCTCAGCAAATTATAAAGTCTATCTGGAGAATCGTCGCAAGATCGCACAGAAGTTGCTTATCCTGCAGCCTCCGATGCGCGTTATACTCAGCATCTCCATATCGGATCTGCCGACATTTGCGTGCAATTTTCAATATATTAGCAGCATGGGCGCCCAGCAGCAGCAGCTGGGTCTCTGTGGCAAAGAGGCGCTCTCTTCCAAGTTCTATCGGAAGTATATACAGAATCAGCTGGACAAGGTAAACACATTTTTACGCTGGAATTGGTATGTCCGATTGGTGGCTGTTCTGAAGCGAATGCTGCGCAAACGTGTGATGCCATTGAACGTGTGGAAGCGAGCGTGGGGCGGCTTGGAAGGTCTGATGAACCGTGAGTTAAACCAAATGAAAATGCGCACCTTTGAGGAACTCTATCGCATCTGTAGTAGTCCACATACTATGCCCGTCTTTCGCTTATCCTTGGTTTGGAACGATTTATCAGATGGTCTGGACTTAAGGCCTAGTATAGCCAATCTTCAGTCCATGTTTGGTGAGATTATCACCGAAATCTCAATGGTGGGCTATCGCATGGAAGCCCTTCAGCCGCAGGTGGACACATTGACTACCTTTGCACAGGTGAACGACTATCTTAAAATTGAGATGAATGATAACTATGTAAAGGAGGTAATCAAGAAGGCACAACATATCGTTTATTGCACTTACACTGAAATAAGTGATTATGTGGATGGCTTTAGGGAGAAATACAAAGGTCTATACTCTGACGAGGTGCGCTTGGAGCTTGCCAAATTTCTGGAGGAGCCGCACAAATTTGAAGAATACTTTGCTCGTATCGAAGCCTATTATGAATATATAAATATGCTACGCAGTGAACCGGCGACGGATTTTTTCGAAATTGCGGTCATTGACATCGAACCCGTAATCCAAGCACTGCGCTCTCTGGCCGAGAGTCTTATCTCACACATCACAGCAATTATAATAAGCGAACATATTCGGGCGGAGGAAGAAATCTGTGTGGAGTTCGAGAAGATCAAGGAGAATGCTTTGCTGATACCCAAATCCACAGAGGAGCTGCTCGAGAGCGCGGAATATATGATCTACGTGAAGATGCAGAAGCTGACTGAGCTTACGGATCGTATTCAATATTGCTTGCAAGTGGGCACCAACATTGTGGAGCTTACCCAGATGTCCAAATATCACTTCGATTTGACCATTAAGACGATCAACTGGATCAAGGACATTAACGAGATCTGTGATTATAATGCATCACAGCAGGAGCAATACAAGTTTTTATTTGAGGAGCATCTGCAGGAGGTCGTCAAGAAGCTAAACGTCGATATTTTGGAAATGGTGCCCAAATTAGGGATTATCGATGATATGAGCAGACCGGACAAGTTTCGTGAGTCCTATATCATACTCCAAAACTTTATAGATCAGCTCAAAACCTTTGATGACTATGTGGCCTGGATCAACAAGGAGGAGAAGCTCTTCAAAGTCAATCAAACTGAATATCCAACTCTAGAGGTTATCAAGACCTTCGTCTATCCCTTTGCAGAACTTATGAAGTACGTATAATGCAACGTAAAAGACAGATATTTATTTGATATTCCTCTCCTATAGACTCTGCATTGAATGGCAGCGGTATTTAAGCGTCTGGATGGATGGTCCTTTTGAATACTTGGAACCAAAGTTTGTGGAGACTACGACTGAAGATTATCTAAAGGAGTTTCAAAAGAATCAAAAATATTATCGCATTAAGATCAAGCAGGATATGGTCGAGAATCCAGTTTGCAAATTTAAGGTAACTGCGAAGTCTTGAGACCGTGCAGCATTTTCTATACATACTTTCTGATTTTTAGGGCCAAACTGAGGATCCCGATCCGGAGAAACATCCTGTACCCATACGCCTTTGCGCCTCGATGGTGAGGTCCATCAAGGACTTCAGCATTGGTGTTTTTGTTGTAAATACTCTTTGTAATCCGGCGCTCCGTAAGCGTCACTGGAAGGAAATGTCGGAAATTGCTGGCTTTGACATTACGCCAGATGCGGGAACGACGCTTCGTAAAATCCTCAACTCCGGCTTGAACCCAATACTCGATCAGTTTGAAATTATCAGCATTAGCGCCAATAAGGAATTACAACTGTGGAACAATTTGCAAATCATGATTAAGGAGTGGGAAAACAAGGTGTTCCCCGTCGGGCCGTACAAAGAGACCGGCGTTACAATCCTGTCCAGCTTGGATGACATACAGGCTCTATTGGACGATCACATACTTAAAACTTTGACCATGCGTGGCTCAGCCTTCATGAAGCCCTGCGAGGAAGAAGTTCGCGCTTGGTATGAGAAAATAATGCGCGTTAATGAGACGCTTGATCAGTGGGGCAAGGTGCAGGTGAATTTCCTTTATCTCTTGCCCATTTTCTCCTCAAAGGACATTGTGGCCCAGATGCCAGAGGAGGGTCGCCTCTTTGCCACAGTCGAACAGACCTATACACGTAATATGGGCTTGGTGCTGAGGAATCCTTTGGTTATGGAAACGGCCCCGCTTTCTGGTCTACTGGAGTCATTGCAGAAGGCCAACGAACTGTTGGAGGATATCTCCACAGGTGTTAGCAACTACTTGGAGAAGAAGCGATTATATTTTCCACGTTTCTTTTTCCTGGCCAACGATGAAATGCTCGAAATTCTATCCGAGACAAAAGATCCTTTGCGCGTTCAGCCACATTTAAGCAAATGCTTCGAGGGCATCAATATACTGGAATTCGATGCAGCTAAAAATGTTTTAGCCATGCTCAGTAGCGACAAGGAGCACATTATGTTCATAGAGCAGATCTCAACGGCTGCAGCCGGAGGGAGTGTGGAGAAGTGGCTCGTCTGTGTGGAGGAGGAGATGCTAAAGGCCGTGCGCTACCAATCGGAGCTCTCCTTTAATCACTATCCCACTTTGAAGCGTAATGACTGGGTGCTGGAGTGGCCACAGATGGTCGTCCTGGCTGTCTCCCAGGTATACTGGGCCTCCAAGATGCACAGCTGCCTCCGTCGCAGCTATGGCGGCAACCAGGCCGTAATGAATCAATACTTCCAAGAACTAACTAAGGAGCTGAATGATATTGTTACGCTAGTGCGTTCGCCCGTTATCAGCAATCTGAATCGTATTACCATTAAGTCCTTAATTGTCATTGATGTGCATGCCAAGGATGTCACCGAGGACCTGATACGACTTAAGATCAGCAGCGAATATGACTTCCAGTGGCTGGCCCAGATGCGCTACTACTGGGAGGACTCGACGATGCTGGTGCGCATTATCAATGCAACGGTTCCCTTTGCCAATGAGTACTTGGGCAACTCGGATCGTCTGGTCATAACCCCGCTCACCGATCGCTGCTATCGCACCTTGGTGGGCGCCTACCAACTGCATTTGAATGGCGCTCCCGAAGGACCCGCTGGCACTGGCAAAACGGAGACAACAAAAGACTTGGCCAAGGCTCTGGCTGTGCAGTGTAAAGTGTTTAACTGCTCCGATGGCTTGGACTACAAGGCCATGGGCAAGTTCTTTAAGGGCTTAGCCTCCTGTGGTGCTTGGGCTTGTTTTGATGAGTTCAATCGTATCGAACTGGAGGTGCTCTCGGTCGTTGCACAGCAGATTTTGCTCATCATTCAGGCAGTGCGTGCAAATGCGACCAAATTCATGTTTGAAGGCACGGAATTGATCTTAAATCCCGCCTGCTATGTCTGCATCACAATGAATCCCGGTTATGCGGGTCGGTCCGAGCTGCCGGACAATTTGAAGGTACTTTTCCGTTCGGTTGCCATGATGGTGCCCGATTATGCCATGATTGGTGAGATATCATTGTACTCCTATGGCTTTGTGGATGCACGCAAGCTGGCCGTAAAGATCGTGACCACTTATCGCCTCTGCTCGGAGCAGCTGTCCAGTCAGAATCATTACGATTATGGCATGAGAGCCGTGAAAACTGTGCTCTCTGCCTGCGGTAACATAAAGAAACAATTCCCGAATGAGGTCGAGGATATACTGCTGCTGCGCAGCTTGATAGATGTGAATTTGCCGAAATTTTTGTCCTTTGATGTGCCGCTCTTCGAGGGCATCATTTCGGACATCTTTCCCGGTATTAAGCTGCCTCACATTGACTACTCGCTCATGGAGAAGGAGTTCATACGCGTCTGCGAGGAGGAGATCTTGGAGCCGGCGCCCAGTTTTCTTCTCAAAGTCATTCAAACCTACGAGATGATCATTGTGCGCCATGGTTTCATGCTTGTGGGTGAGCCACTGGCGGGCAAATCGAAGACGCTGCAGGTGCTGGCCAAAGTACTCTCGGCGCTCAAGATAAAGGCTCCATCCAAGAGCCCCTACTTCCAGCACGTCCTGATGGGCATTATGAATCCGAAGTCTATAACTATGAATCAGCTGTATGGCTCCTTTGATCCCATATCTTATGAATGGACTGATGGACTGGTGGCAAAAATCTTCCGAGACTTCGCAATGACTCCCACGCCAGATAGAAAATGGGTAGCCAAAAGAGAGAGCTCGACTAGTATAGGACACAATTTCAGTTTCTCTATTCCTCCTTCTCTAGGTTATCTTCGATGGTCCCGTTGACGCTGTTTGGATTGAGAACATGAACACTGTGCTGGATGACAACAAGAAGTTGTGCCTGACCAGCGGTGAGGTGATCACGATGTCCAACGAAATGTCCATGGTATTTGAGGTAATGGATCTGGCCCAAGCCTCGCCAGCCACGGTTTCAAGATGTGGCATGATCTACATGGAGGCATCGACTTTAGGCTGGCGCTCCTTCGCGAATACGTGGCTCAAGAAAGCCGATCCACGCTGGGCGGACAAGGAAAATACGAAGTACATGTTGGAAATGCTGTCGTGGCTGTTGATGCCGGTAAGATAAGGTTTGTTTCCTCTTATTCAGATTGCTTAATCTATATTCTTACAGTGCATGACCTTCGTAAGACGCTTCTGCAGTCAGTTCGTCAAGCCAGGCGAGTTTAATTGCATGCTAACCACATTTGATTTGATTGATATGCAACTCGACGAGGCCATCGAGGAAAATCCGGATGACTATGACAAGTATATAGAGAGCTATATACAAGCTGCGATCCTTTATGCCCTGGTCTGGGGCATTGGCGGTGTACTAGATATCAATTCCCGAGAGAAATTCGATGCGTATCTAAGAAAGGTGCGCAGATATTACCTCTAAAAACAATAATAATTCCTAGCTTGATAATAATTCCAAATTGCATCATCGTTAGCTATACGAAAAGGAGCCCGCGGCATTGGGCAAAATGGAGATAACCCCTCCCATAGACGGCCTCATTGTGGACTATGTTTTTGTGTTTAAGCAACGTGGCAATTGGCGGTATTTCCCCGAGATGGCCAAACGCATGGACATTGAGGAGACGAAGATAGGTGTCATTGTGCCCACTGTGGACACAGCTCGTTATTTACACCTGCTCAAGCTGCATGTGCAGCACAAGAAGCGAATGCTGCTCGTCGGACCCACTGGGACGGGCAAAAGTGTTTACATACAAAACTATCTGATGAATAAGCTGAATCCCGACCTCTACGAAACGGGCTTCATTACATTCACAGTCATGATTAGTGCCAATCAGACGCAGGAACAGATCATAGCCAAGCTGCAAAAGTGGAAACGCGGCATCTATGGCCCGCCCAAAGGTATGGAGAGCGTTCTCTTCGTGGACGATATGAATATGCCAGTGAAGGAGGTTTATGGCGCTCAGCCACCGTTGGAGTTGCTACGTCAGTTCTTTGACTATGGCCATGTCTATGATCTGAAGGATAGCTCCAAGATCTACATGCATAATGTATTGATAATGACAGCCTGCGGCCTACCTGGTGGCAGTCGCCAGGATGTCTACCCACGCTTCCTGAACCACTTCAATGTCTTTTCGATCAATACGTTCAGCGACGACACCATGTTTCGCATCTTTCTCAATGTGGCTTTATGTGGCTTTCGACGCACCGGCCATGGACAGGATGTGTTCGTACTCACAAATCAAATAATCAGCGCCACTCAGAGCATTTACAAGAGCGTGCAATCGGAGATACGTGCCACGCCCGCCAAATCCCATTATATATTCAATTTGCGAGATATTTCACGAGTTGTCACTGGCTGCACGCTGGTGCGCAAGGAGTCTGTGAATGATAAGAAAATGCTGATTAGGGTCTGGTATCATGAGGCGATGCGCGTCTTCTTCGATCGCCTTGTCGACGAAGTCGATCGCAACTGGATGTTCGACAAGCTCAACGAGTGCCTGAAGGCTAACTTCAGGGAAAAAGTGGAGACAGTCTTTGAAAAGTATTGTACGGTTCGTATATGCCACAGATCCAACTGCACGTTCAACTGTAAATCTAAAATTTGTATTTGTATTTTCCATCCAGGATGATCAACCAGAGTTTACAATGGAGAAAGCCAATACAGTTCTGTTCGGTATGTATTTCGACGAGGACAGTGAGCCGGATGAAAGACGCTATGAGGAAGTGCCCAGCATGGATGTATTTTACAAGATATCCGCAGCCAGCCTGGAGGATTACAACTCGACACGTAGATCCAAGATGGACGTCACCTTGTTTACTTTTGCCTTGCAGCACCTGAATCGTATCTGCCGCATAATTTCGATACAGGGCGCGAGTGCCTTGCTGATTGGGCTGGGCGGCTCGGGCAGGCAGTCGCTGACTAAACTGGCCACCAATATGGTGCAGACATCGTTTTTCCAGCCCGAGATAACGAAGAACTATGGCGCCAACGAATGGCACGATGACATAAAGGCCATACTGAAGGAAGCGGGCGGCTTGAATAAGCACACGACATTTCTCATCACAGAGAATCAAATTAAAATGGAGCTCTTTCTGCAGGACATTGACTGTTTGTTGAATCAGGGCGAAGTACCGAACATTTTTCCGATCGACGAGAAGCAGGAGGTGATCGAGATGGCACGTCTGGCTGCGCAAGGAGGCAATCGCAACATCGATGTCTCCGCCCTGCAGGTCTTCACCTTCTTTGTGAATCGTTGCAAGCAGAAGCTGCACATTGTGCTCAGCTTCTCACCCATTGGCGATGCGCTGCGAACGAGAGTTCGCTTGTATCCGTCGCTGGTGAATTGCTGCACCATCGATTGGTATGATAGCTGGCCCGAGGAAGCGCTGCAAATGATTGCCAAAATGTCGCTGGTGGATGTCAACGTGCCATCGGAGGAAATCAAAATGGCTATCATGGATACGTGCCAATATTTCCATACCACGGCAGCGCGTGTCACGCGCGAATTCTGTCAGATGGCTGGACGACACATCTATCAGACCAACGCGTCCTTCATCGAGCTCATCAGATCTTTCCAGACCCTGATTGCACGTAAGCAGGACGAGACCATGCAGGCTAAGATGCGCTACATTGGTGGCTTGGACACCTTGGCCTCAGCAGCTGCTGCGATTTCCATTATGCAACGGGATTTGGGTGCACTGCAGCCCAAGTTGGTGGCCTTGGCGGAGGCTTCGCGTAAAATGATGTTGGAAATAAATAAAGAGACCCTTGCTGCTAGCGCTGCCGCGGAGCAGGTGAAACAGGACGAGGAGGTAGCTTCCGTGCAGGCAGAAGCGGCACAGGTGCTCAAACGTGAATGTGAAAAGGACTTGGCTAAAGCTATACCCGTGCTGGAAGATGCTTTGGCCGCCTTGAATACCCTGAAACCAGCTGATATAACATTGGTGAAGTCCATGAAGAATCCACCGCCAGTTATCAAGCTTGTCATGGCAGCAGTGTGTGTGATGAAGGGTCTTCCAGCGGAGCGGATACCAGATCCAGCCACTGGCAAGATGGTCAACGATTTCTGGGGTCCTAGCAAGCGTATCCTAGGCGACATGAACTTTCTGCCTGCGCTCAAAGATTTCGATAAGGATAATATACCCGTCGAGGTTATGAAGCGTATACGCAAAGAGTTCATACCCAACAAGGACTTCCAGCCGGACATTGTGGCCAAGGCATCCAGCGCCGCCAAAGGCTTATGCCAATGGGTGATTGCCATGGATCTGTATGACAATGTTGCCAAGGTGGTGGCACCTAAGAAAGCCAAACTTGCTGCGGCTGAGAAAGAGTATGCGGACACCATGGCCTTTCTGGCTGAGAAGCGCGCCATGGCAGCTGCCCTGGAGGAGAAGGTGGCGTTGCTTAATGTCGAACTGGACAAAGCAAACGCTGAGATGCAAAACACAGAGCAGCATGCAGAGAATTGCCGAAATAAACTGATCCGAGCTGAAGCATTGATTGGCGGACTGGGCGGAGAGAAGTCGCGTTGGAGTAACGCCGCCGATGATCTTCAAGATCTATATGATCATCTGCCAGGCGACGTGCTCATCTCCTGTGGCATCATTGCCTACTTATCTGCCGTTAATCTGCAATACCGTTCGACTTGTGTGCTCGATTGGTTTAAGAAGTGTAATGCACTGCAGATACCCTGTTCGAAAAAGTATTCGATCACGGCTGTCCTTGGATTGGAGGTCACCATACAGAATTGGCAGCTGGACGGACTGCCCAATGATGAGTTCTCCAGCGAGAATGCCATCATATCGGCCAACTCCAGCCGCTACAGCCTGTTCATCGATCCCCAAGGACAGGCGAACAATTGGCTAAAGAACATGGAGAGGAAAAATCGACTGAATTGTGTCAAGTTTAATCAGAGCAACTACATGAAGGTCATTGCCGAAGCCTTGGAATTGGGCTCGCCGGTGATCATTGAGAATGTGCAAGAGGAGCTGGAGGTGCCACTAGATCCAATTTTGATGAAGCAAACGTTCATTCAGGGCGGCATTAAGTACATTAGCTTGGGTGAGAATGTGGTGCCGGTGTCTCCAAACTTTCGTCTCTATATGACCTGCAATTTGCGTAATCCTCACTTTCTACCTGAGACTTTCAATAAAGTAACTGTCATCAATTTCGCTTTGACGCAAAATGCTTTAATGGATCAACTGCTCAGCATTGTGGTGGCCAAGGAGCGACCCGATCTGCAAGAACTGCGCATCATGCTCACTACCGAGGCAGCCGCCAACAAGGGAGCCCTGCGCGATGCCGAGAATATGATTTTAAAGACACTGACGAGCAGCGAGGGCGACATTTTGGAGAACGAGGCAGCCATCGTTATATTGGCCGATTCGAAAACCCTGTCGAAGGACATCACCGAGAAGCAGGAAGCCGCCAAGGAGACGTCTGCAAAAATCGAGGCATTCCGCATGAATTATAAGCCCGTTGCCGTACACTCCTCCATATTGTACTACTCGATCACCGATTTACCCAATATAGATCCGATGTATCAGTTTTCGCTCAACTGGTATATCAATCTCTATATGTACTCCATTGAGACGGCGAACAAGTCGAAGGAACTGCCGCGTCGCATCAAGTTCCTGGTCGATGGCTTCACCAAAAATTTGTATAACAACGTTTGTCGCTCCATATTTGAGAAGGACAAGCTACTCTTCTCGTTTATACTGACAGCCAGAATTTTATTGGGCACAGGACAGGTGGAGATGCGGCACTTAGCGCACCTGCTGACCAATGCCAAGGAGTCGACCAATATACCACCAAATCCAGATCCTAGCTGGATAACCGATACAGTTTGGTTAAACGTGCTGCGGTTGGAGGAGCTGAAAGAGCTCAAGGGAATCGTTGCAGCCTTCCGTGCCAATCTACCAGCCTGGCAAGCGATCTATGATCACACTTCACCCCATCTGCAGGCGTTGCCTCAACCCTGGCAGGATAAGACCACAGCCTTTGAGAAGATCATAGTGCTTAAGGCACTTCGTCCGGACTCTGTGTTCCTCGCCGTTCGGCTTTTCATAGCGAATACAATTGGGGATCAATACGTGACGCCGCCTGAATTTGACATTTCCAAATCGTATGCGGATTCGACGGCCTTGACGCCACTACTCTTCATCTTGTCACCGGGTGCAGATCCCCTGGGCTCTCTGCTGGCTTTCGCTGAAAAAATGGGCCAGGAGGAGACGTTCCAAAGCATTTCGCTAGGCCAGGGCCAGGGACCGATTGCCACGGCTTTGATTAAGAATGCACAGGATATGGGTTACTGGGTATGCCTACAGAATTGTCATCTGGCTGCATCTTGGATGCCCACACTAGAGTTCCTGTGGGAGAACATGGATACGTTTAACACGCAGGGTAAGCTCCCAACAGTTGCTATTGACTATTGGACTCAATGATTGTCTTGATCTCGATTGCAGCAAACTTTCGCATTTGGTTGACTGCCTATCCGACTCCACAGTTCCCCGTAACGATCCTTCAGAATGGCGTGAAGATGACAAATGAACCGCCGACGGGTCTGAAAGAGAATCTAACGCGCTCGTACAATTCGGAGCCCATTAATGATCCGGAGTTCTATATGGGCTGTGCTAAGCAGGATCGAGCTTTTACGCGTCTGCTATTCGGCATTTGCTTCTTCCATGCGGTTGTTCAGGAACGGCGTAAATATGGTCCATTAGGTTGGAATATACCCTACGGATTTAATGAGTCCGACTTGCAAATCTCAGTGCTGCAGCTAAGCGTAAATTACATTCGAAATGAATCGATGTGAATTGATATTAATCAAGCTTTGCGCTCTTCCAGATGCTGCTCAATCAATACGAACACGTTCCTTACGACGCCATCTCCTATTTGACCAGCGAGTGCAACTACGGCGGACGCGTTACGGACAATTGGGATAGGCGTTGTATCGTTACAATACTCGCTGACTTCTGTAATTCCCAAGTGGTCAATGATAATCGCTTTCGCTTTGCTAATGATGATCGGTATATCTTGCCACGTAAAACGGAGCATCGGGAGATTTTACGTTATTTAGACGAGTCAGTTCCTTCGTTGGCCCCTCCGGAAGTTTATGGCTTGCACGCTAACTCTGGCATTACGCGTGATTTGCAGACAACTAAAACGTTGTTGGATTCGATGATCCTTCTGCTGGGCAGCGAGGCGGCGGGCAGCGCTGGCGGCGGGGTTAGTCCCGAGCAAATGATATTAGATACAATTAAGCAAATTGAAACTGAAATGCCTCCAGACATGGATGTCGAGGCAGCGGGAGAGAAATACCCGGTGAATTACAATGAGTCAATGAATACGGTTGTCGTTCAAGAGATGGAACGTTTCCTAAAGTTGCAGAAAGAGATTCGTGCCTCCTGCCGAGACTTAGCCATGGCCATTAAAGGTATCATTGTGATGACTCCCGATTTGGAAAACGTTATGATTGCCATGAAATTTAATCGCATACCCACGAAGTGGATGGGTAAGTCCTATCCCTGCCTTAAGCCACTCGGCTCCTATGTGCAGGATCTATACAAGCGTCTCAATTGGCTGCATCAATGGCATCGTGTGGGCAAGCCACCTACCTTCTGGCTATCCGGATTCTTCTTCACCCAAGCCTTTCTAACGGGCGCAATGCAAAATTTTGCCAGAAAATACAAAATACCCATTGATACGCTCACCTTTGACTATGATGTGCTCAAAGTCGAAACGAAGAGCGTGCCACCGGAAGATGGCATCTTTTGCAATGGATTGTTTTTGGAGGGCGCTCGTTGGCATTGGGAGCACAATACGTTGGCCGAGCAATTGCCGAAGATTCTGATGTATGTGATGCCCGCGATATATTTTCGACCTATAACCCTTTCGGAGGTTAACGAGGGGACGCGTTATCGCTGTCCGCTATACAAGACAGCTGAGCGCAGGGGTACGCTGTCCACCACTGGACATTCGACAAACTATGTGGTTCCTCTGCTACTAAACACTCAAATGAAAGCTTCCCACTGGGTCAAGAGGAGCGTAGCCTTAATTTGTCAAACCAACGACTGAAAATACCTAAGAATTTCAGATAAAGTTGCACGCAGATTAAAGAGAAATCCGAAGAATTGTCGGTGCTCTTAGTATAATATATATATTTTATATATATATATATATATCTATATGCAATTCATAAATAAAAGACAGGAGCCAGCACAATATAAAATGAATGTCATTTAAATAAATAGAGTAACTATGACTATGTGCTTCACTGCTTGTTTGTATTTATTAGACATTCTTTCGAAATTAGAATATGCGCGCTCTTATTCGTTTAATATACATTTATATATATATATATACATATATATATATATATATATATATATATATATTCACAGCATTTGAAACGCTTTAAAAAATAATAAGACGTAGAGCCAACACGGAAAATATAAAAAAGGGAAAAACACATGCATTTGCTTGCTCCCTGGGACTTTAGAAGACCCAGGAAACAAGTCAAGAAAATACGTAGTGTAGACTTTGGATTAATGACAATGCCGCTGCTAATTATGTTGCTAATAATGATGATGAGATAATGATCATGATGGGGATATTATTGTTCTCTCATTGGGAACGACAGCCTAGAACATCGGCATTGCCCTCATCAGAACTACTGGGCTGACTGCCACGACGACGTTGCTGCTGCTGCTGCTGTTCCTGCTGCTGTCCAGTTCCAGTAGCAACATTTCCAGGACTCAAGCTGATGTTGCTGCTGCTACTGCTACTACTGCTGCTGCTGCTAAATAGATTATGATTGCGCTCGCGAGGATTCTGTCCAGCAGCAGCAGCGGCTGCATTGCGCCTTGGTTCTATTAGCTGTCTTATGAAATAATGTATCTGATTGATATCAAAGTCGCCCACATCCAAAATGCTACGTCTAAAGTTTCGCTGCAGCGTTTCCTTCAAGGCATCCATGCGCGGCACCTCCTGCAGCAACAAAAAGATAACTGATTAGCAAGCACAAATGAAAGATGGGCCAAACACTTACAGCTTCTGGTTGACCACTGGGCGTCCAAATCTTGACATTGTGATCTAGTCCAGATGTGGCCAGCACTGGCATCCATGGATGCTGCTCCAGACAGTTGACAACGCCCGCATGATCGCCTTTCACAAAGTTCATCACGGCTTCGGTGTTCTTGTCCCAAAAGAATATGTTGCCACAATCACTGCCACTGATGATGTATTCGGAGTGTGGGCCAAAGAAATTGACGCCCTTAATGGTGCGGCTATTGCTGTGGATGGAAGGATAAAATGATCATTTGATGTACTGGAGCTTAGTATATCGCAACGTTGTAGTTACATGTGTCCTTCGTAGTAATGTAGATATTCGCCATCCTTATAATTGCGACTGTCATAGAGATAAATGCCCGCATCGCTGTAAGAGGCGAGTATCTCGCTGCCACTGTGATTGTAAACCGCGCAGGTAATCTGCGTGATCTTTATCTAAGAGAGTGTATAGATTAGTTAAAATGCTCTTCGATGTGTTATACTAATACTTACATCTTTTAAGTCCTTGGGCGTCATTTCGTGCACAGGTTTGGAGTTCAGATTGCGTTTGTCATAGACGCGCAATTTGTCATCGGACCCGCTAACACAAAACTCTGGCATATACGGATGATGTGCAATGCTAAAGAGACGTACACGTCTGTTATCCTCGCTGGAGATGCACCGAAGCATGGTCGAGCATGCATTACTGCGCAGATCGAAGTGTTTCACTGCAGCATCCTCTCCAGCGCTCATTATCTCATGTCGACTCTGTGGAACGACAACCAACTTATGCACAGCATCACTGTGGTTGTAGAGACGGGTGGTTTTGGTGCTACTGCTGCCAGATGGTGGGATGACAGCGCGTCTCACTTGACCGTCACGACTGGAGGAGACGATGTCCAAGCAGCCGACGCTGTCAATGAATTTTGTTTGGAATATATTCAAGCTATGGCCCGATCTGAAGTTGTGCCGTGGTTTGCCCTTTGCCCAATCCCAAATAATGATGCACAGATCATCGGAGCCCGAGCAAATCAAATCGCCAGTACGATTGAAACTCAAGCAGTTGACACAGCAACGATGCAAGCTCAAGGCATCCAATAATTTCATCCGCTCAACCACCTGTCTGGTGGCGTAATATCCTTGGCCAAAGCTTAGCGATGAGGTTTGTCCACCACGCCAATCAATTCGATTGAATAAGTTATGCTCCCTTCGCATCAGCTCCTGTGCGAAATTCCAATTATAATCGGGCTTCGGCTTACCCATGACTTTGTTGACTGCAACCTCTATTTGTGCCTTATCGGCAGGATTGGCCTCCGTCTCATTATATTCGCCATCCTGCAGACGAAACATATACTTGAAATTTGCCATTACATGTATGAGGGGAGCGTACAACTCACGTTGAAAAACATTATGTTTTATCTAAATAATAATATTATATTTGTATCCCTATATAGTTATTGCTTACAATTCTAGGCTACTGAATGTTTTTGTGTCTTTGTTTTGATTCTAGCATATTTTGACAATTAGAACAAATTTTTTTCAGTATTTAAATATTCGTTTTTCGTAACAAATTTGATAAACAATCAATAGAATTGTTGAATCATTACCAGAATCGATTTATAATCGATCATGAATTCATTGAACCAATGAATTTTCTTGTAAATATTTACAAATACATTGTTCGTGACTTACAGAATCGTTTTCCTCATTGCTGGATGTGTAATAGCGATTCCAAAAGGCAACGCTCGAACCGGAGCTGCTGTCATCTTGCAATTGAGCTTCCTGCGAATGAGATTCATCGTCATCAGTATTTGCTGCCTGATCCACGGCTTCATCATCATTGCCATCGACATCCGTATCATTGGTATCGCTGTTGTTGTTTTCATTGAATTGATGTTCACTGCCACTGCTTGCGTCCAAGTCATCTGAGTTAAGCGCGATTGTGGAGCGATAAGTGCGATGACGCTGTCGTAATTGTCGATGAAATACATGCGAATTTAAATCGATATTTGCAGCCGCATCTTCATCATCATCATTAACATTGCGTCTGGCCGATATCTCCAGTACAGCATCAGATCTAGATGACTCGGAAGCTGTCGGCATATCACCGGAATCGTTTTGCAAGATATTATTCATTGAGCACAGAATCTGTAGAGATCTAGAATTATTGGGCTCCGCATTTGCGTCACCTGAAGTTTTGACAACAGCAGAGTGTACTGTCTCGTCGGCTGTTCTTATTGGCTCATCCGTCGTTTGTTGTTTGTTGCTTGCTTCTAATTCGATTTCATTCTTCTTATTATCATTGTTATTGTTGTTGTTGCTGGTCTCGTTTTCACCATTGCTGCACACGTTGTAAAAATCGATGAATTATGTATAAGTAAGAAGCTAGCATTTTTTGCTCACTTACCCAACCAACTTGGGGTCCACCTTAGATCCAGTTGCTGTTTCTGGTTGTGGTGGTCCTTCTTCTTCGTTTTCATAGTCGCTTTCGTCTTTGGAGTTGGTGCGCTTTTGGCGCTTGCATGCTGTTGCTGCGTCCGAAACACACACTTCCTCAGCTTCAACGTCCATTATACAAATGCAGTGTGTGTAATATTTGCATTTATCTTAACAACCTGCAATTTTTCCTGTGTACGCAGCAGAAATTAAGACGATTGTTTATGTTTAAAGCGGTGATGGGAAATAGTTTACACCAGCAACTGCGATAGCTCAGGGCTGCGTAAGTAGTCGGTCTATCAATTAACCATTAATCGGCATCGATAGACATATTTCGCCAAGTATAAAAATGGTATTGTTCTGTTTGCTTTAGGTGTACTAAATTCAAATTAAATTTTATTCAAAATTTTTACATAAATTTTTGAATAACTTTGCTTAATGAAACCGAATATGATTTTCGGTTATATTTTTTCATTTGTAAATTGACGATGGGACATTGATCAATTTCCCGATTACGATTAAGATATCGCAGCAATATGTTTTACTAACTCTTGCAATTAATCAACCTCGATAAGTATGTTGCGCCAAGTATGAAATGGTATTTGAGTGTACTAAATTCTAATTAAATTTGAGTCAGCATAATTGTTACTTGTGTCTTTAATTGAGAAGCTTAATTCAAAATATTGTAAATATTGTATGTTATATACATATTATGTTGCCCAAATATGGTCTTAATATGTATGATTGATACTATTGGCTCTTCTGCTCTCTTCGACTTCTTCGATATTCAGAGCGCAAGAAGTTAGTCTTTGACTCTTCGACTTGAGAGTGCGCTCTTCTGGCTGGCTGACTGGTAGTTCGGCTTGACTGGTTTTTATGGCTGTGTTTGAATTCACAATGAGTTCGCAGTGCCAGCTCGCAGTAGCTTAGTTATTGGTTACAACGCGTCGACAACGGTACCAAAGCGGACGACGCGTTCGCCTGGAGGTATAAGAAAAAAACACGTCTTGCAGCAATAAAAATATATTGTACGTAAATCTTATACAATCATTTAAGACATGCATAAACACAATGTGTACATATAAAATGTTTTCTTCCGTCTTGAACATGCTATGCACGTCAGCTCCAAGCATTTCTGAATTTCGAGTGCGTTGTCTTGTGAATGTGTTTCTCTTTAAAGTTGAAGTTGAAGTTGTTTTAGCGCTAATTAGCTTTCCACGCATAAGCGTGCACACACATACATGTAAACATACGTATATGCATACAATGCATGACTGGAGCGCAGGCGTAGCTGAAATGAAGAAATTTGAGCGAATTTATTTCTAGTTCCGCTTTGTTCTTGAAATTGCGATCTGGTTTTCTCTCGATTTCTTTACGCATCGCATTTCAACTCGAAATCAAAAGTTGAGCAAATTAATTTACAGTTCCGCTGAGTTCTTGGAGCTGCGATCTGGTTTTTTCATCTCGATTTTCGATTTTGTTTTCGCATGATTCGCAGTTGCTCTGTGGCGTTTATTGCTGTTGTTGTGTGCCTGCAAAATGCGAAGAAGCTGATTCCGGTTTGTTTTTGTCAAAACAAAAGGAAATATAAAACAATTACAAAGCCTATCATGAAATTGTAACATGTTGTTTTTTTGCAAGTGCATATTTATGCCTTGTATATTTCTTATCTGCAGTCAGAATGTTCTTTTTTGATCAACAACAATACTGATAGCAATTGGTTGTCAACCTGCCAGACGATACACCTATTTGCTGTAGATGTCGTTAAATACTTGACCCGTTACCTGAACCATTCGGCTCGGAAATGAATGAATCATACTCATTTCGATTCGTATGCATTTGTGCCGGCTGCCCATAGGAGTCTACTTGGATGCCTTTTTAAGGGGTGCACGAGCGAAAGTTGAGAATCAGGTTTCACAGCCAACGTTCTTGTAATTTATGCTTTATTTTATTGGCTAGCCAGGCAGGATGGTGGAATATCCATACAAGTGCGAAGAAGAAACACAAGAGAGTGAAATACCTGCATGTGGCTGACTATCACATACCCTGGAAACGATCAAAATTAACTTGAGTTATGCGTGTTTAATTGGGGGATATATGAAGTGGTAACAGCTAAGCAAGTTATTGAAGATTAGAAATTAATAATTATTATTTTAAAATATTTGACCACAGCCTCCTCAATACGACTTCACAGACCAATGTACCCTTTTGAATGCTTTGCTGCTGGGTATAAGCGACTGCAAGCTGAAAGAAGTTAACAAGGAAAACCATTTATTTTTACCGCAATAATAAATACAGTTGTCCACTTTATTATAAAATCTTGAGCTTACCTCGATGATTCACTCGGAGAGCCGATGCATGCAAGATTCTGGTTGCCTTTCACTTTTCTGCTGAGAGGGGGACTCAATTAAAAGGCGACTTAATTGAGCTTAATTAAAAGTATCTCTTAGATACAATTTTCTTTGCAGCTTGACAGCTTTATGCATATATGCAATTCAGTTAAGCTTCGCCCACTCAATTTGTGATTCTCATATTTTTTAGTTGCTTTTGGAAATGTTGACGGTACGCAGCAGTTGTAGGCAAGCGCTACTGTCGCTCATGCTGGCAACATTTTTGGCTTCAGTTGCGGCTAGGACAGGTGAGTAACTTAGCGGTTGACCGCAAAGGGTCGCTAGACTTAACAATTTGTTCTTTACATGCTTTCAGGACCCACGCACAACAAGGTGGTTGTTTGCTACATATCCACCTGGGCTGTCTATAGACCAGGCCAAGGTGCCTATTCCATAGAGAACTTCGATGCGAACCTTTGTACACATGCGGTCTATGCTTTTGCGGGCCTCGATATTACACAAGCGTCCATCAAATCATTAGGTAGTATAATTATTTGTTGTTTATGCAAATTTATAATGTGACATCTGTTGTAGATCCTTGGCAGGACTTGCAGGAGGAGTATGGCAAGGGCGGCTATGAGCGTTTAACAAGCTTAAAAAGCAGTCATCCGCATCTGAAGGTCAGCTTGGCCATCGGGGGCTGGAATGAGGGCTCGAAGAACTATTCAACACTCGTGGCCAATGTGCAGCAGCGCGAGCATTTTGTGAAACAAGTTTCCGCTTTTGTGCGCAAATACAATTTCGACGGCCTCGATTTGGATTGGGAGTATCCAACGCAACGCGGCGGCAGTCCGCAAGATCGCGAAAATTTTGTCGCCCTGACAAAGGCATTGAGAGAGGAGTTTGATAATTACGGTCTGCTCTTAAGTTCAGCTATTGGAGCTGCTAAGAATGTTATCGATCAGGCTTACGATGTGCGACAAATCTCGAGGTATCTCGACTATCTGCACATCATGTGCTACGATTACCATGGCAGCTGGGATCAAAAAATTGGCTACAATGCACCGCTAACAGCAGCTGCTGTGGATCCGTTGAGTGTGGTAGCTATACAAATTACTTATTATATCCAACCTATATGTATTATAATTATTGATATTTGTTGCAGCAATTTACCATCGACTATCTATTGAAGCTGGGTGCTCCGCCTTCTAAGATAGTCTTAGGTCTGCCCTTCTACGGGCGCACATTCAAAACAGTTGCTGAGGGCAATGTGAACGATGCCAGCGATGGCGTTGGCTTCCGTGGTCCATTTACACGCGAGGATGGTTTCCTAGGGTATAACGAAATCTGCGATATATTAAGCAACAAGACTTCCGGCTGGACAACGAAATGGGACGCAGAAACTAGTCAAATGGTTGCTCGCTCTGAGCGAAATGTCTTCACGCTGGACGTGAATGTTGTGTCTTTCGATAGCTCACGCTCCATTGCTAATAAAGTCAAGTTCGCTATGATGAAGCGATTGGCGGGCGTTATGGTGTGGTCCGTGGACACGGATGACTTTCTTGGCAAATGCGAAGTGGATGACGACACCTATGCAGATTTTAAATATGTTAAAAGTGCACCGAGAAGACTTAATCAAAATTATCCTTTGTTGCGTACCATCAATGAGGCCACTACACTTGCTCTCGAGGAAATGGCTGCCGATGAGGTCGTAATACCAGATGACTCCGAAAACGAAATACCTCATGGCAAAAATGCTGCAACATCCTTAATTAGCATAAGTCTAACGCTCAGCTCTGTTTGCGTGTTGTTACACAACCTAACACATTGAAAAGTCCAATACGTGCCTTAGTTTTTATTATATGTTTGTTCCCCAAATAATAAAATATCAACATCATTAATTTTAAACAAATAATTTTGTATATTTTCAAACTGCGCGCACTTCTCTGAATACTCGATAGTTGTGCGCCGAACATCGATAAGTGCGTTAGCTTATGCTGCAGCCCTTGCTGTCCTATCGACTTTTTCGATTCAACTTTAACTGTTATTTAGTCAAATAGCTGCCATATTAAACTATTAATGTGTACATTTTTTGTTATAAATTTAACTTGCAATCTAACGATTAACTATTTATATATGTATATATATATATATATATGTTTGTGTGTGTTTGTATAAATATGCATTTATGTATCGGATTGTGTGTGCTATATAAATACACAAGTAAGCAACATAATTTGTTTCATATTAGAATATCAATGCTACAGTTTCAACATTCAATACAAACTACAATATGATTTATATATATGTATATAAGTACTATGTAATAAGTACTTGTGTATGCTACGTAAAAATGTCAAGTTAAAGCATGTTTTATGGCCTCATGGACCTTAGTGTTGGGCCAAAGAGATTTATAAAGAGAGAGAGAGAATAAGACTGAACTCATGTATAGAGCGAAAATAACTGTACTTGACTGCATTATGGATGGTAAACATTACATATACATATGCGATGATCATAGGCAAAAGAGTTAACTGTGTGTGTGTGTGAGTAGGTAATTGAAACAAGACAGCTCAATTGAAGCTCAATGCTTAAAAGCGCGGGAAGCAGGAACGTAGAAGAAAGACCGCGAGAGAGGGAGAGAAATACTAAGCTCACTTAGAGATCGAATATAAATGTACTCGACTTCATTTTGGATGGCAATCATTTTTACAAATCATAAGTCAGTAATCTGTTTATGGATGTGTGAGTGAGTTGTTTATGAAACCTAGACGAAAACTTCATTTTCGTCTCACAAACGTTTGCCTTCGGACCAATCGGTGCGTTCGGCGCCCGGACAACGGTTACCTTCATAGATATCCAAATGCTCTCTCGAGCGACTCTTCGACTTGGATTTGTGCTGCTTGCTGCTGCCGGCGGCCGAGCGTTGCAGCTGATAGCGATCGTTGATGATCTCATAGTGGGCTGGAGCGTGAATGGAATCGGTGCCACTGCCATTCCCAGCCAGCAGTAGCTCGTGTATATTTTTTGTGGAACGCCGATGCGCCTCCAAACACTGCGATTCCGATGAATAGGGAAACGAGGCGACAAAGTTAGCAGCTGTTGTCTGCGTGGCAGGCGGATCGCTGGCAAAGTTGGCAGGTGGCGGCGGCAGCTGCTGCAATGCACCATCGCAGGGCGTCGATGGCGACAGGTCTGTGAACTCCGTTTTGGGCTCTGATTCCACAGAGCACATGCTTTGCCTTGAGATGTCCTTTTGCAGTTGCTGTTGCTGCTGATCCAAGGCGGCGCTCTTCAGCGTTGGTATATTTAGATTGGAGCTCTCGTAGTCATCCTCGAGCCGGGCTTGCGGTATGGGCAAGCGACTCCTGATCGAATGCTCCCTACGTCCGAAACGTTGCGCCAGATAATCCTCGTTGTTGTTGCTGTTGCTGCCGCTCTGATTGCTGCTGCAGTTGCTGTGCTGATGATGATGCTGGTGAGGCTGTTGATGCGGCTGATGATAGTAGTTGTCATTGCAGCAGCTGCTCACATCAGCGAAGTAAACCTCCGATTCGGCAGCTTCCTGGCCCTTGGCTATGGCTCCATTGGAGTCCTGATAGCCATTGTTCTCAACTCCATTGGCAGCTGTTGGCTGCGCCTGCAGCACCTGTTCCTCCTCCTCCTCCTCCTCCACCTCGGGTTCCTGCTGCTTGGCAAACACCTGCTGGACATTTGGTCGCTGCTGGCTGCTGTTCTGGGTGTTCTGTGGCCCGATGCTCTTGGCGCCCGCCTCGATGCGCTTCTTTAGCTTGCGCGTGGGCAAGGTATTGGAGCAGCGATCGCGCTCCCTCCAACCATTGCAGCCATCGCTGTCCGAGTGCGTATTTTCGTATTCCGCGTGGCCAACGGCTTTGGCCTTGAAGCCACTCACAGATGAGGCTGTGCAGCCGCCTCCGCCACCAACACTTAGAGTATCCATGCGCTCCATGGTGGCAGATTGAGCTGATTGCTGTGGCACTTGCTGCTCCTGTTGCAACTGCAGCTGCTGCTGCTGCTGTTGTTGCTGCTGTTGATGCTGCTGCTGCTGCATCTGTTGTGGCATGGCGGGATTAACCGCCTGCAGATATTGATAGTAGCCCCGTCTGGCCGGACTATTGGGATCACTGTACGGCGGCGGTGGACCCCAGACGCCATATGGTAACGTTGTCAAAGCCACGACAGGCTCCTCAATCAACATCTGATTGCCATCTGCTACAGCTGTCGCCGAGCTGAAGCCGTATTGTGAATCCGGGCTGGCAGCTGCTTGTCGAAATCTACGTGTCGCATCCGGCGTGGTGCGTTGCCATGGCATTCGCGGCCAGCTCCAGCCGCTGCGTCCATTGCGACAGCCACTGAGCGCCTCCTCGCCGCCGCCTGGATTGGGTGAATAGAAATTCCCTGGCGGCTGGGCGGTCCAGAAGCGTTGCTCGGCTCCAGGTCCAACTCCAACACCAGCGCCTGCAGCTACGGCTGCTGCTGCGGCTGCTGCGCTCGCCTCATCCCAGGGATACGAGTTCGTCAGCTGCCGATGGGCATGGCACTGCTCACAGCAACGACAGTTGAGCATGCGACCCGGTGCACTCAGACTATGCGGCGGTGGCGGCGCCTGGGTGGCATAGAGTGAACGACAGCGCAGCTCCAGCTGCTCCCAGTACATCTTCTTGCGCTCATGGCTGAGCAGCTGGTAGACCAGCATGCAGCTGAACACGGCAATCAGGACTCCGGCAACGGAGAGTCCAAAGATGGCGCGCAGACACGAGTAGAGCGAACCATGGACGACGCCACAATCTGAGAGCGAGTCAAAGACCAGACGCACACCTTCTGAAAGAGAGTGAAGCGGAGTTAGTGGACTGCCAAATGGCATACACTTCGCCCGTCCAGGCTTACCCTTGTCCACGCGATCCACCTGGGACTCGATCAGATCCGAGTAGCAGGTGCAGGTGCGCGTCTTCTGCGCGTATTCGCATTCGCGCAAGGCCTGCAGTCGGCTCATGTGCAGCACCGTCGTGGTCACAGTGACCAGGGCGCAGGTTAGGGCTGAGACCAAGCCACAGGCGCCTGAAAGCTTGATCTAAAAGTGAAGATGAGGAAGCTAAAGTCAGGATTAATTCATTGATGGAGCAAGGCTAGACCTACCAAATAGCTGTACCGATTGCGACGACGCGCCAGACTCATGATGCAAACGCCTGTTAGAATGAGCTGTAAAGTAAATGGTGATATATATATCTGTATATATCATATAGATGGATCAACCAGGTGAAACTTACCAGTGTGGCGGGCACAAAAGTGGGCACCGTTTCAAAGTTGCCCACGGTTATGGTATAGGAATGTAGCAGGAAGTAGACGCCCAGGAAGAGAACGCCAAGGAGGCAGCTGAAGCCACCACAGATGAGGCACCACACTACATACTTCTTGATGCCAGCGCCAGGACGATGCGCTGAAAAGAGAGAGAGAGTGAGAGTGAGAGTGAGAAAGGAAATGCGAATCATATTAAGAACTCTTAAAGCAATCCTCTAACCCATCGAGCCGCGATGATAATGTGCTTCCGCTGCGGTCGGTGGCGCTGGCACCCAGGTGCAAGGCGTTGGCATGCTATACTGCACAAACTGCATCACCGGATAGCCATGCATGTTGAGCAGCTAGTCGAGTATGCCCGTCTCTTGCAGAACAATTAAAACTTTCTTAAAACTCTTTCAATTTGAACATCTCGCAAGTGCCCAAACGTTTATTTTGTTTTGGATGCTGTATATATATATATATAGACTATATATACAGTATATTTGTTTTCATATACAAATATTTTTTTTTCACTTCTCGAAAAAATATCTACACACAAGTCCGTTTCAGATGCCTCAACTGGGCAGCTGCGCGAACATTGAATGTTGGGAGATGGCGAATGGGAGACGCGGAAGCTGCGCCCCATACGGAGCGTGCGTTGCAGTTGCGAAACGGTGTCAACTACAATTCCGATTTCGATTCCGTACTGACATTCGCACAGTTACTAAGCCAAACAACCAACCAACCAACCAACCCCTCTGCAATCACGGATGTCTCCCAAGGGAGTTCCAGCGAAAGAGAGAGAGAGAGAGGAAGAATGCGCAGGCGTCGAACTAGCGGATGAGAAGGCTTCAACCGAACGGATGCTGTTACGATGATACGCAAAGACAGTTACAGCAAGTGGGAAACTGTGACCATTCATGTCTGAGCACCTGTCTCTAAAATACCCTGTAATCAGCTGGCAGATAGTGGCATGGATTACCCCAACGAGAACTGTTCCTTGAATACGATAATATGAAATGATTGTTACAGTTAAAGGGAAGCTTTAACTAATTAAGCGCATGACTAGGCGATACCCTGCAATCGGTAAGCAGCTGATGCCCGCTGACTTATGATAATTTGGACTATTCATGCGGGAATGTGTATTCGACTCTAATCTATTGGGAATGTCTTGAGTATATATAATGGATATATACAACTCTTACTCCGTTTGAAAGAAGTATATTCAACTACAAGATACCCTGTACTCAGCTATTTGTATTCCTTCTTGATTAACCTTAGTGGACATCGAATGAGATATATGAAGAGATACGAAGAGATCCTTTACCATGTACCCAGATTTATTCCCTGACTATATTTATTCCCTTAGTAATGGTTATAGGATGACTGAGGTATACGCCAGCACTGTACACCATATAGGGTATACCCATTGAGATCTAAATATGCTCTCAAATTTTCTATGCACTACTCACCTGTGGAACCATTGGCATTGCTCCTTGGCCTGGGCGGCGGGCGTGGCGGCAACGGTGGACGATTATCATCCAGGCCTTGAGATTTGGCACCTCCACTAGCAGAGGAAGCTGCAACAGCTGCAACCGCCTCGAGCTCCGTATCATGGTAGATGTCATTGCAGCTGTCCACCTTGGCTGGCAGCTGATCCGCCGTGTTGTTCGCATTACGTGGCTTCTTCTTCTTGATCATGGTGCTGTTATTGTCCGATTCACTGACCGTAATCTCGTCTGCGCCCAGCATCGCATCTGCGAGGAGGCTACGCTTGTGTTGCTGCTGTGAGATGGAGACGGATATGCTGTTGGCAGCGCAGCTGCACTCGAGATCACATTCGCATCTCGGCGAGCTGAGGGTCGAGCTGTCAAAGGGCAAATTGTGATTTTCCTCATTGGGCAGGGCTTGATAGGAATGATTGAGCAGAGACTGCGCTGACTGGGCCTTCACTCCCACCTGTTGGACAGGTGTCGATGTCGCCGTCGACGTCGAAGTCTGCTGATGGACGAGTACGTCGACAGCCATGGAAGCGTTTGGATGCGGCGGATGTTGCGGCTGCTGTTGCTGCTGCATTGCTGCGGCTCTTCCACAGGAACAGGGGCACTGACATTGCTGCTGCGGCTGTTGCTGCTGTTGTTGCAGATATTGAGCCGGATATTGTATATAATGATAATGATGAGGCGCTGCGGCCTGGACGAGACTCGACTGTGAGGCAACACGTTGCAGGCAAGCCGAGATCGATGCTGTGCTAGAGTCCGCAGCAATATCCATGACTGAATAACTGGGCAACTGGCTAAACTAAACCGGTTTGACCCTTTTTAGCTGCAAACGCTTAATAAATGCCTTCACTCAGAAAGAAACAAACACAGGTATCAGGTATGTCCGTCCATGGTGGCTGTGGGAAGGAACTTTTGCGCTTTCAATTTCGTGCACGATAAATTCACCAAAATTTATTGCCAATGCGGCAGTAGAGGCCAATCCAAATAAATAAATAGTGAACACGATCGAATTAACATAAACAAAAACGTCGCAACAACAACAACAGCGACAAAGAAAACCGCAACAATTCGGCGGAACGAAACGAACGCGACTAAAGTTGAGCGGTGACTGTGGCTTTTCGCTAGCGATCGTGAGAGGATTGCCATTGAGTGCTGCTCAAAGCAGAGAGAAAAAGAACTCAGCTTGAGCATGAAGTCAATACACTCACAAATCCGAGAGCACTACTTGAACAGGAGCAGACTGTTAATACACTCAATATTACTCAATTGTTCGGTTCACATGCACACAACAGTTAAGCAAGAACTCCACACTTGAACATTAAGTGGAACTCTCACTTCAACAGAAATAGACGGAGCAAAATTAAAACAACAGTTCCACACTGCTATACGCACACATACGCATCTTAAAGAGCGCAAATTTGAGCATATTTCCATAATGCTAGACTCAAGCGCACTCAGTTTGAGCAACTACTCCACACTCCTTTACACACACTCAGCCAAAAAAAAAACCGCTGAGCACAATTGAGCAATAACTCCACATATACATATATAAGAGAGCGCGTACACACACACACAAATCAAAGAGCGCAATTTGAGCAGCGGGTTCATAGTTCTATACAAACACACTGAACGGACAGCGCTGTTTAAGCAACAACTCCACATTCCTACACACACGCATGCAAAGACTGATGAGCGCCTCATGAGCAACAACTTCACACTCCTACACACACACACATACAATCACTAACTGAAGAGAAAAGTTGGGAAAAGGTGCGCGCTTCAACTTCAAACGAATTCCGGTTCTGGTTGTTGTTGTTGTTATTGTACACTGATTCAGTAAAAATTCTGAAGGTGTAGTTCAAAACAGAGCAAAGCAGTGAAAATCAATTTCTTTGTTTGGCCTTTTTATGTTGTTGTTATTTGTGCGTTCTTACCTGAGCAGAGGCAAAAGAACTCGCTGTTGTTGTTGCATAGTGCCACTTATGTGTGTGAGCATGTGTGTGTGGTATGAATGTAAATATAAGGCAACCTGTAGAACCAATTTAAATGAACAGCGGCTTACACTACAGTTACTACTGACTAAAACGGATAGTTTTAATTGGGTTAAGCTAGAAGAAGTATTTGGCTAGGAAGGAAATTTAACTATTTAGGGATGTTAGGAAAGTTAACAATAATATATTATGTTAGCTTGATCCCTAGAAACTAAAGACAGATATGTATATATAATGTCTATATCCCATGCAAACTCAATATGGAAAACCGATCAAAAAACATTTTCCGTATCTTTTAATACACATTGATGGCTAATCAAATTCCAATCTAAAACCTTTGCTCTCTTTGACACACCCAAAAAAAAAAAAACAATTGTTTATAGCGCCTGTTCTAGCAGACTGGAGGCATACGCCCTCCAATAATCGTTAGATTGTTAGAGTTATTTCTGAGCGATATGAACATTTCCGCTACTGATAATGTTATACATTCCAAGTACATTGATAAATATATGTTGCGTGCGAGCGTATATCGTAGACAATTAGCCGTTATTTAACAATATTGTTACATAAGATATGAGCTTGTTTCATATTATAATCCGATATCGAAATCTATATTAATAAAGTCATTTATCATTTTGAACCGTATATTTGTAGCCTATAAACTAGACAAACGTCATATAGTATACAGATATATATATTAAGTATTAGGTAATATACAAATGTCATTTGCGCTCTGGTTAAATATATAGTATGAATATTTATATGTATGTACAATTAGGTGATATAAATATTTGGGTTTTTGCGTGGGTAATCGATGAAATTTTTCGATTTATCAACATTTGAGGCTAGCGCCTAGTACAGCTTGTAGAGCGATAAGATAAGTACTCGAATTATATACGTATTACTAGCTACACAGAAACAGAAAAAATATCAAGTCGAAGGCAGAGAATGAGTGGAAAACATAAACTATTTACATATATATATTATATACTACTTTAAAGCCAAAGCAATCGAAGACTTTTGAAGCATTTAGAATAGAAAGGCTACATAGATAGTTATGTACATGGGATCGTAGGTTCCGTTTATTAAATAATAATTATCACAACCGATAATGGGACTTTCTAAATCTGTTATGGCATCGGCTTTAAAAGACGTATTAAATAGTCGGCAGTGCTCGACTAGCAGATACCCGAAGCCTTTCAAGGCAAAAGTATGTAAGTATGTAGCAAAGATCGAAGATTTTACGATTTATAATCAATCTATCATAAGCTGTGTATTACAACAACGTTTATATCAAACTTTGTGCCTGAGTCTGTTTAAAGAACTGACTTAGGTTATCGATAGACTTATTAATTTATAGGTTAAAGAATTAGCCGAAATGCAGACATATCTAGCAACCATTCAGATATATACTTCAGCTACGCCTTCTACTGCCTTTTACATACATTGGTATAAACACAATATACCCTTTCTTTATACCTTTTCAATAAGCTTAGGGTATTACAACCGAAACATTTTTTTTTTGTCATTTATGACTTCACAGTCGCTGATAGGGAATGGACGAGCATGGCAAAGCTGCTGATAAGGAAAATGCTCGCTGGCAGTGAGGACAACATGCGATAGTTCTCTTCGGTGTGTGTGCGCGTCTTCTTCTGCTTGATGACCCAGCCCAGGCTACGTTCCACGGCTCGCTTCCATTTGCCGTAGCGTTCCTCGCGCTCCTGTTCCGTTGTGGTCGGCAGAAAGGTGTCGTAATGGACGTTCTCGTAGTAACGTTTCTCCGGCTCAAATTTACATAAATCGACACCATCGGCTTGGGCGGCACACATGGCCGCTCCGAAGGCCGTCGAGTCCATCAGCTGGGAGCGAAACAGTGGCAAGCCCGCTGTATCCGCTTGCAGTTGCATCAGCAAATTGTTTGTAGTCAACTTTCCATCCGCATGAAGTTTGTTTATCTCGTAGCCGCACTCCTGGTGCATACACTCCAATATGTCGCGTGTCTGAAAGCAAATGCTCTCCAGGGCAGCGCGCACTATGTGATTCTTTCGCGTGAACTGCGTCAAACCGATTATAATGCCGCGTGCATTCTGCCGCCAATAGGGCGCATAGAGACCCGTAAACGCGGGCACAAAGTAAACATCCCCGGCTGTGGGCACTGCTTCAGCATATTTCTCAGCGTCTCGCGAATCGGGCAGGAGTCGCACCTTCTGCTGCAGCCAGGACAGAGCATGTCCGGCCACTGAGACAGAGCCTTCCAGCGCATATATCGTTGGTGCATGGGGTCCCAGCTTGTAGGCAACCGTTGTTAACAGTCCGTGACTAGAGAAGACGGGCTTGTCGCCCGTATTGCAGAGTAGAAAACAACCGGACCGATATGTATTCTTTGTCTGGCCTGGCTTCACGCACATCTGTCCCAACAGCGAGGCCTGTTGGTTGCCCAAGATGCCGCTCAATGTGATGCCACGTAGTGCACTCCTCTCCGAGGTGATCTTACCAAAGACCTCCGAACAGCTGCGTATGCTGGGCAGCATTTCCTCGCGAATGGCAAAGGTTTTCAGCAGCACAGGATCCCAGTTTAGAGTTTCCAGATTCAAGAGCAGCGTGCGTGAAGCATTTGTCACATCCGTGATGTGTAGAGCACCTAGCAGGGAGATGGATTTTGATTATTTAACATCTCAGAATATCTTAATAAAGTTGGGAGTGTCCGACTAGGAGATACCCTGTAGATCTCTTGCTTCAAACTCTTGCAAATTGATGTTATTAATGATTTCACTCTATCTGATTGTACTATAAAAGGAGAGACGACCTGCACAAAAGGAAGCACGGACGAACGGACGGACCTGAAGGTGGAACCATGGATGAACCGCTGAATGATGTCTCGTGAAGAGTTAACAAACCATACTAGGCACAAAATCAATAAAATCCACTCCACTATTCATGGTTATAATGTGGGTAAGCTCTATAATGTAACTGAGTCACCCTGTCTAATAGATTTTTGCTTACCATTCGTTAGATTCCATATGATCCAGCTATCGACTGTGCCGGCCTTGCAGCGTTTCTCGCGACACGCCTGCCGCACCTCGGGCACATTGTCCTTCAGCCAGCGTATCTTCAAGGCGGAGAAATACGTTGAGATGGGCAGTCCAGTTCTCCTCTTGAAATAATTCGGATCCTGAACCTTGGCCACAATCTGTTCGACTGTGCTGCTCGTCCGTATATCCTTCCAAACGATGGCATTGTAGAGTGGCTTGCCGGTGACAGCATCCCACAGGATTGTCGTCTCTCGCTGATTGGTGATGCCGACGGTGGCAATGTCGCTGGAGCTAAAACCCAGTTCTGGTAGCTGTTTGATTGCCTCCTCGGCGCACTTGTTTATCGATGCCATCATCTCTAGGGGATCCTGCTCGTACCAGCCATCCTGTGGCGATATAACACTCAACTCTACACGATGTGCAGCGATTTCCTTGAAATCGGGCGTCGTATAGATCGAGAAGCCAATTGTCTTGGTGCCCTCATCGATGACACCCACGAGTCCTGTGTGCTGGATCAGAGACTGCTTACGCAGCTCCTTGCTGCGAAAGGGCACATCAGCACTCGAATTCGGCACGTTCTTCCCCTCCGTCATGCTGGCTGTAAGAGAAGAGAAAGTCTAGATTAGGCAAGGGTATATTCAATGCGAAAATCAAACTATTTTTAGCTCACGATAATGAAGAAGGCGACGAACTCGATAGGAAATTTCACGTCTTCACTTTTTACTACAAATTTGCAATACATACTATATGGTTGTCTTTCTATATAAATATACTGTACAATACCATACTATACTATACTAAACTATTCTATACTATACTATTCTATACTACTCTATACTATACTATACTATACTGAGAAATGATTGTATATGAGATCGACTCCCTAGCTAGTATAGCAACCGAGATCGACGCACGTTATGACGAACAGATAGGCACGTGTAGATTGACTTAGAAGATTATATACACTATTTTAGGGTCAGCGATCGGTTATAAAAATGTAGCTCGTGTTTCTTAAATATGCGAGGTCTGTACCAAGTGTATCTTGACCCCCTTTGTCGTTTTTTCATGAGTCTCTTTAGTTTCGGAAACAAGAAAAAGCTAACACGGCGTGTACTTTGGTTAGTTTTTGATGTTTTTGGCTATACACTTTGCTATCTTTCGCCATACTTCTTAAACAGACCTCGTATAGCATTTGTATGAATACATTATACATATGAGACTACGTACCAGACATGCAATTGCAGTCTTTTAGACTTTGCTTGAAGATATTCTATGCAATATGAGCTTAGCTTAAGTTTTTCAATAGAATACTATAGAACTTGCTCATGATCTATGTTAAAAAAAGAAATACCTTATATACCCAATGTTAACTCTTTGCGAAAGATCATTTCTTTTTACCATTCGGTAAAAAAGGCAATATTTGTTTTTATTTATGTTTGCTTTTGACTTTGTACTCTTTGGGAATTGGAGCCAAGCCCCAAAGCTTTGTTGGTTGAACGGTCGAGCCCTCTACGAAACACAAACACAAATACATATAAATGTGTATATATGTATGGTAAAACAGTTGCTATCTGTACATTTGTTGAAGCTTTTTGTTTTTGTTTTTGTTTTAAAATTTTTGTTGGCAGAGTCCAGAGAGTAAATAGATAAGAGACAAAAAATGATCGAGTGATGTCAATTATTTACACGAGTACATTTTAGCCTATATATACATACGTATGTCTGTGTGTTAATGTATAAGTAAATAGTAATATTTTAATGCTTTTCCTGATGTAGCTGATCAACGAGTCCAAGTTCGAGTCAATGTCACTCGGAGTTCTCTCTCTCTCTATATATATAAAAATAGGGTAATTTTCCTATATATATGCGACTTGGTAGTTTAATTGTTTCGTCATTTAGATTTATAAATAAAGACGTGGGGAGTAAATAAGTACGTACGTACGTATATTGAAATATATTCACTTTGAGCTATTGATCAACAATTTCTTGGTATTATTTATCAGTTTTATATATAGCCGCAGGTCGATTGAACAAGAGCTATTAAAAACTTCATTGCTGCAGTTTTAAACTTTACCTTGTCGTTGCTGCAATTATTGATAACAGCAATAAGAGGCAACAACAATGTTCACACTTGTGCCAATACTCAAACGAAAGAGGGAAGGAGAGAGAGTGCGTGTGGTTGTATTTCACTCAGCTGTGTTTTTTTGTAATGCGTTTGTTTTTCGTTTGAAGAACGGCAGTTAGAGAAAGAGAGAGAGCTATTGCTTGTCTTTCACTCGCTTGACGAAACGGCGTTAGAGTAAAGGAGAGAGCACTTGTTTGTATTACACTCCGATATGTTTTTGTTTTTGGTATGCAAAAAGGGTGTTAGAGTAGAGGAGAGAGCACGTGTTTGCTTTTGTTTTGTTTTTGTATGAAGTCAGAGGGGGAGAACGCGAGCCAGCGAGCGTGTGTTTGTTGTGTTTCACTTAGATGTGTTTTCGTGTTTGTTGCAACTTTTATTACTATTTGTTTTTGCTTTATTAGTTTACTTTATTTTTTTGTATAAGGCCCACACAACAACCGCTCAAGGCAAGCGCCAAAAAGTATCTGAAAGTCAGGGAGCTAGTGACAGCTGCTCGAACCGCCAGCCATATCAAAGCGAAGGCGCGTCTGTATATACTATATACATATACATTTAAATATACATATATATATTTATAGCAAGAGCTTTCAGTGCAGACGGCGACGCATTGAAAACAAACATTGACACGACACACAATTCCAAGTGCGATAAATACAGAAGAAAGAAGAGTGAACAGCTGATAAGAAAAGCCGGCTGATTTGAGAGTAGGTGGTAAGTGAGACAGAGAGAGAGAGAGAGAGAGAGAGGGAGAGAAGCGCGAGGAGAGAATGTTGTCTGAGCGGGTGGGCACATTAGCTTGACATTTAAACAAATACATTTGCTTAGAATTTATATTGCTACAGTGCTTACCATAAATATGACAATAAATGATAAGATGGATTTATTACATTATAAAAAATAAAAATATAAAACAAGATATGTTATAGTTGTAATAATAAAAATAAAAAATATATAAAAACAAAATAAATATATACATTTAAAAATAGGCAAAAAAAAACTAAATTAAATAAAATAAATATTATTTATAAAATGAAATATAATAAAAATTAAAATTAGATAAAAATGAGTATAAAAATTATTCCATTATATATTTTTTTTATTATTTAAATTTTATTATAAAACAGGAAGCACTTATTAATTTTTTGTAGTCAAAAGCAATTTTATTCATTGCATGCATTTGCATTCAATGAGCTTCTTGGTCGTCTAAAAATAGCACAAATATTGCTAAAAATAATTCAGTTTAAAATTTTTTGAATTTCAGCAGTTGGACAACATAAACAAAAGAAAACTTGCTTTATGCAACGATTTCAACTTCATTAATATTATTTAAAAATGCGAAATAAACAAAAATCGGTTATATCGAAATCCATTCGAAATATACTCTAACCACGCGTATAGCATATAAACTATGTGAAGTCTCTTGACAGGGCGTCCAAACTTCGTTCTATTACACGTGTTTATCACCTTGATGTGTACACGTATAAATAGGTGTTACATTTGCATCGTGGGGCAATTCGATGCAGAACAAGGTAACGCTGTGACAGCTATACTTAAATACGAATATGTATATGTTAAATACTCATATTACTTTAGGTATATTGTAGGGTCAACAAACCGAGAAACAATGTGCAATACGAGAACTGTACATTTTTATTGCAAAAAAAAATAAAAAATATATATGTATGCTGCTTGGCAGATTGTAACATGAATGTAGATGTAGGGTTAACAAAACAGGCGCCAGCAATGATTTATGATCAACGGAGGTCAGTCTCTAAGGGTTATCTTGACTGATTAGGTGATTAAAAGAATAAAATAGACAGTTGTTAACTAAGGGCAACAGATGGCGCCAGCAATAAATTAAACCATAAGCCTATAAACCTATTGATGTCAAATATTCAGAATAAAGATAAAAAAGTAACTCAAGGTCAACTCATAGATGGCGTTAGCAATAAATGGTAATCATATGTCCGCCAGCCTCTAAAGGTCAAATCTGTTAATTAGTCGCTCTTATAAGCACTTTGCCAATTGCTGGCTGTTAATCACACGCACACGCAAATACAAGCACAATTATTATAATAATTATAAATATATGCACTTTTCAACATACACCTTAAAACGGATGCTAATGCGCAGCAGCAAATGCAAAACTTGTAAAACGTCAGTTACGTAAATTTGGTTTACAAAAACAAATAAAAGCCGGCACGCAACGTATGCAAATGAAATATTTATTTCCGCGTGTTGTCAACGTTCGCGCAGTTGGCGACAAACTGAACCAAAATCTATTGATGACTATGCAAGATTGGCAAACGCGATCTATATAAACAAGAGAAAGACAAGAAAGTGATCGAGAGAGAAAGCGAGCAGCAGTAGCTGCCAATAAGGCGTGTGGGTGGGCGAGCAACAGCACGTGATACTCAGCCGCTCAGAAGCTCAACAAAATAAATCAATAGGAGACACACACACACTCACTCAGATAGATATTAACACATGCATATACATACCGTGTACACAATATACAACTGCGAGTAGACAAGCCCCTCAAAGCTGCTTGGCGATTGGTTGGATTTTATTTACGCTGATGACGTCACAGTTGCGAGCAGCAGCCACACGTCTAATGTTTATCTTGGGTGCATGTTTGTTTATATTTATGGCGTGTGTGGTTAGCCAAGATTTACCTAATATCTAAACAAATATCTCTGTAAGGATTGCCTTGCCTGATATGAATTACAGCACTTTTTCTTAATAACACAAACGATATTTAAAACAACACGAGCACGTGTACCGGTTACTCAGCCTATAACTAAGGCTAAAATAGCTGGCTATTGCTGTGCACTTGGATATCATTTATAGCTAGAGAGTGCTTTGCAAAGCACCTGCAGCTTTTATGGAATACGGAAGCCATGAGTAAAACAACCTCTCATAAATATATTTATTGTGTCTTAATAAAATCAACTTCACTGACGAGCCCTTTTTTCTAGTTGTTTATTGCCAAATTAACCAGGGTTGCGTAAATACTACACAACACCTATCGTTCAGGTTGCACAACTGTTACGTTTTCGCCGCAGTCAACATTTTTAGGCGCCAAAAACCATTTATTCAATCAGTATGTAATTCGTAGAATTATTATATGAAACTATGATGAAGTATCAGACTTTATATTCTCAAGATTATCCGAAAAGATTATTATTAACAAATTGTAATCCGTTACAAGGTGCGTAGCCAAAATTTGTAAATTCGGAATGAAAGCAAGAATAACAACCCAAATGCTTATCTTTGTTAGACTTTATTACTCAATATATAGGTATTATTATTGTAACCGCTTTCGATATTTCATATAAGCTTATCATCGAATATATGTGCGTGTATGTATACAGAGTAGGCTATTATCAAAATATAATTTTAGTTATACCTGCCGCTATGGTACGCCAGTATTTGGACAACAAGCATGGACAGCGGACGAATTGCATTGGGAGTGTATGATATACCCCAGCAGCATACAGATAAGCGTTCGTTCGCTTCGATAGAGCAGAGCTTTTCATCGCTGTTTGTTATTTTGGCCATCTTCTCGGGCGTTGTATTGGCCCGTGCGATATTGACCCCCAGCCGGACAAGTCGATTGAATCCTACGTTATGCTACCTACTGGAATTTCCATTGATCGCCGTGCCGGGCGTTCTTTTAGTGACTGTGGCTAGCGATTATAGTGTGCAATTCGTGTCGGTTATGATAGCTGTGCTTTTCGTTTACATTATGCGTACGGGCTCGATATCGCGTATCGAAAGCCAACCCCAATTTGACGTGGGTACCCGACCTATTGCCATTACTATTTGCCGTGCGCTGACTCATCTGATCACATCGATTTGTATACTCGCAATTGACTTTCAAAGCTTTGATCGCCGATATAGAAAGAGTCGACTCTTTGGTGCTCATCTCATGGACACGGGCATTGGCCTCTTTGTGTTCACAATGGGTTTGGTGTCTCGTCGTCCGCGCAATTGCAGTGAACTGCGGCGAAATATTCTACGATCGGCACTGCCGCTCATATTACTCGGAATTGCACGGGTCATAGCGATCCTTGCGCTTAACTATGGACAGGATGAGCATGAGTATGGCGTCCATTTGAATGCATTCTTCACGCTGGGTCTGACCAAGCTGTTTGGTAGTATATTCAGTTATTTTGCACACAGTGACTTGCAGCTGTTGCCTTTGGCATTTTGTGAGTTCATCAATTTCGTACAAAATTTACACTGACTAATTTTATTTTGCATGCTTACAGGTGTTCTGGCATGCCATCAGGTGGCACTCACCTTCGGCGGTATCTCGGAATATGTGATGGATGATGATGTACCCCGCTCCACTTTACTGAGTGCTAATCGCGAGGGCATTTTTTCGATACCCGGTTTTGTGGCTATTTATTTGTTATCTATTTACTTCGCCCGTTGGCTGTTCGCCAAAAAGTTGTACAGCTTTAATGAAATGATTGGGAAAGTTTTTACCCTACTTATCTTAGCGATTGTCTGCTGGTCTCTAACGGCAGTCAGCGCCTATGTAGTTGGCATCTCACGTGTCACCTGCAATTTGGGCTACATTTTATGGATGTCTGCTATAGTAAGCACCGTTATGTGGCTAATCATGTTGCTGTTTGAACTCATATTCCAAAGCAAACATATCGAAGCAAACGGAACGAAGCTTAACGAATTGACGCGCTTAATGGACGAAATACAACTTAACGAAACTGAGAATCTAGAGAAAGGCTTATTAATTCCAACGAAAGCCGCTGCCATCAAGAATAACGGAGCTCTACCTATCATCATCGAATCCTTGAACATGAATGGCCTTGTGTATTTTCTTTTGGCCAATATATCAACGGGTTGTGTCAATATCTTTTTGAAGCCCGAAGATCGTTCAGATGCTGTTTCAGTGTTCATTTTGCTCATCTACATGTTCCTGGTGACGGGTGCCGTCTTTCAACTTTATAAAAGGCGTATTCGCATCGCCTAAATCAATGAACAATCAATCAACATATCCTCTTGCTGTGATATATAAAATAAAGTTTTTATATTTTCTATTTGTTTGTATATGTTTTACTTTCTTCTGATTGAATGAACCTTATCAGTCAATTACCTTTTAAAAATATATTGTAATAGTCATTTGTACACTGTGCAACTTTCCGATATTTTTTAAAATAGCGAACGTTATGAACAAATTCAGTTCCGTTCCACATCGCTTCAGTTCAACGCAAACTGGTTCACAGCGATGTCAGTTTTTGGTGCTCTCTTACACACTCTCTTCTTCGAGTAGAATTGGTTGAAAGAATCGAGACGTAAATAAAGAAGTTTCTTTGGATTACCGTGTTTTGTAAATAATTTTTAATATGCGCACTATAAAAACTAAATCCACGGCGCATGCGCAGCTGCAAGATATGAATTCTTAAGCAAATGTGAATTGTGCAGTCAATGCAAGGCTATGGCAACGTAACTGTAAACAGGTGTATGCGTACTCAAAGCATTGCTATGGCAATAATTTTCAAGCGTAAACAGGTGTAAACAAAATCCAGAGCGAAAAATAGCGTAAATTAAAAAAATGTTTGTTTATCTAAGCAAAAAGGTAAATGAAAATATATTAAATATTTATTGATCGATACATTTAAATTGATGCATCTTTTTACAGATAGCGATCCCTAACAATGTTAAGCTGAATTGCATTGCATGGAACAAGGAGGAAGGTTACATTGCGGTTGCCGGCACTGAAGGACTACTGAAGGTGCTCAAATTAGATCAAGGTTAGACACATATAAAATGAGTAATAAAATAAATGAATAATAATCTTATTGCAGCCGCCAACAATGGGCAGAGCAAAGGCGGCCTGGCCGCCGTGTCCAATCTCTCGATGAATCAGACTTTGGATGGTCACAAGGAGTCTGTCAAGGTGGTCACATGGAACGATGCACAGCATAAGCTAACATCCTCGGATGTAGACGGCGTTATAATGGTATGGATGCTGTACAAGGGCGCCTGGTATGAAGAGATGACCAACGATCGTAAGAAATCAACGGTGGCTGGCATGAGTTGGACCTCGGATGGCACTAAAATCTGCATTGTCTATGAGGATGGGGCCATTATCGTGGGCTCCGTTGATGGCAATCGCATATTTGGCAAGGAGCTTAAAAATACGCATCTAACTGGCGTACAGTGGAGTCCAGATAATCGACTTATATTGTTTGCCCTGGCTAATGGCGAATGTCATCTGTATGATAATCAAGGAAACTTTGCGGTGCGTCTAAAGATGATCCTATAGATGCTATTAAAACTAACATATCAATATATGTTTTGTTTTACAGATGAAGCTCAACATTAAATGCATTGCGCTTGGCAGTTCAGCGGGTCGTATACAGCGCATTGCAAGCATCAGCTGGTTTAGCGGCACTGTGAACAATCGCAGTCGACCTGTTTTAGCCATTTGCTATGAGAACGGAAAGGTGCAAATTATGCGCAATGAAAATGATGATAGTAAGTAAGCTGAGAGTCGATTACAGTTATGGGCTATTTATATTTATAAAATTTATCCGTATCCGTGTTATATTCGTAGCTCCTGCAATTTTCGATACCGGCATGCGTAACGTGGACGCCAAGTGGAACCATGACGGCAGTGTGCTAGCCATTTGTGGCACATCTTTAGAGGCAGCCAGTCCAATGCGGGATACCAATCAGGTCTGCTTCTACTCACCGCTGGGAAGACTACATCGAACCCTAAAAGTGCCTGGCAGTGACATTACATCTGTTAGCTGGGAAGGCAAATCGTTGCGCATTGCTATGGCTGTCGACTCGTTTATATATTTTGCAAACATACGGCCCGAATACATTTGGTGCTACTTTGAGAAGACCGTCGTCTTTCTCAACAGTAGCAGCAACAGCAATGCCAGCACCTCGACTAACGTCATCACCTTCTGGAACACGGTGTCGAATCAGAGTTTCCTCAAGGAGGTGGAGCCAACCCTGTGCTTGGCTGCGAGCAACGAGCATTGCGTTCTCGGCGTAGAATGTGTTAGCAGCAACATAAAAGAAATTGCGCTTAGCACGCTGGAAGCACGTAACAACAGCAGCAACTCTGACGGCAGGGTTTATCAACTATTGCTTTGCAACTCCATTGGAACTACAGTGGACTGTGAGTAGGCTGCACTAAATGATCGAAATATTTTATTATAATTTTCACTTCTTCATCCTACAGCCAAGTATACGGATATAAAACCTCGTTTTGTGGGCATTAACGCCGGTTACGTTGTAATTGCTTCTTACGAAGAAATACTCATTTGGCATTATCATACGCCGAAGGTTAGTGCATATGGCTGGGTGCCTATATATTTATTTGATCATAAATCTGGTTATCTATCTGTCTGCTTTCGACTATCTGTATAGCTCTTTATATTTTAATCATCTTGTCTACCTATCTGTCAAATATCTATATACCTTTCTATCTACCTCTGAATCTAGTCTTTATATATTTATATATACATATATATATTATATGTATATAGTATATATAGTAGAAAGCTTTTCCGCTTGATATGTCATTCAATTCTGTTTACTAAATTCGAAATGAAAACAACTACTTTTGTTTAAAATTTCACAAAAATTTAAATTAGATACAAACACAGAATATCTCGAATGCACTTTAATACATTGAATTGGCCGCCATGAAATTGCAGTGGCAGGCCTTTGAGACCATGATCGCTATTTTGACCACATTTTTGGGCATTATATACGCTCGCATTGTAACTGGTCAATTTGCACATCGACTTAGTCGTATCACATGCTACCTGGTGGAGTTCACGTTGATCGTTGTGCCGTCCATTCTCTTTACAACAGTGGCGAATTCGTATATTAATCATTTTGTTGCACTTAAGAGTCTATTTTTATTGATATATATTTATCGTACGCGCGCTTTTTGTCGTGCCAGAGCTCGAAGTGAGTTCAATTTGGGCAGTCGGCCATTGGCTATGACCATAGTGCGTGCGCTGACTCACTTGATCACAGCAGTTTGTATAGTTGCCATCGACTTTAGCTGCTTTCATAGGCCATATAGGAAGAGTCGTCGCTATGGTGCCGCTCTAATGGACAGCGGAATCGGACTTTTTGTATTTACCATGGGCCTGGTCTCACGGCGATCTTGCAACTGGGCCGACATACGTCGCTGTGCCAAGTATTCAACTTTTCCGCTTATAGGGCTGGGATTTGCTCGGATTGGTTTTAATTATGTGCTTAAATTTCAACAGGATGAGCATGAGTACGGCACACACATGAATGCGTTCTTTACACTAGGCATTACCAAGCTCTTCGGCAGCCTGCTCAGCTTCATAACGCGTAACGATGCCCAACTCCTTCCCATGGCATTCGGCAAGTGTGCAAAATTCGCAATTATTTCTAATATATTCATTCGGAATCTACAGGCCTCTTGTTGACCCATCAGTATTGTCTATCCTTTGGCCCACTTTCGGGAATTGTTATGGAGGATTATTTTCCGCGGACTTCTCTGCTAGCTGCCAATCGTGAAGGTATTTTTTCGTTGCCAGGATATTTTGCCATTTACTTGCTGTCTATGTGCCTCAGCCAATGGCTCCAGGCCGACACATTGCTTAGCTATCAAGAAATGAAACGCAAGTTGCGTCAGATGTTTCTCTTATCTTTGACCTGTTGGCTACTGATGGCAGCCGCCAATAGAGTTGTGGGCGTCTCTCGGGTCACCTGCAATTTGGGCTACGTTATTTGGATGTTCGCCATTTCCATAACCATGATCAGCCTTACCATATTCATATTTGACTTTGTCATCGACAGCGTTATGACCGATCCAATAATTGGCACAGATAAGTACTTAAATAAGTTGGAGGGCACGAAAGGCATTCCAACATTTACTATCTGCGAAGCATTGAATATGAACGGCCTTACGTTCTTTCTTCTTGCCAATTCATTATTGGGTGGAATTAAATACTATTTAAGGCCAAAGGACCGAAATGACTATGAGTCTGTGGGAATCATATTTATTTACATGCTGCTCTCAACTGTTGCAATATGCCAATTGCACAGGAAAGGCATTCGGCTAGCCTAAAACAATTAGTGGATTTCTGTTTTACTGTAGTATCAATATAATAAAAATTTCTGTTAATTTTAGAGCACTTCCAATTTGCATGGGGTTAAGGCGCGCAAGGAGAAAAGGTTTCATATCCATGACACGCCCACTGGCGTGGAATTGTCCAAGGATCTCTTGATGCAGGGCGAGCAACGTCGCGTAAATGATCCAATTTGTGCGCTTGCCTTGTCCGAAAAGCTTTTGCTTGTCGCCTGTGAGTCGGGCGTAATAAATGAGTACAGCGTGGCAAATGTTTCGCTAAGGAATCGCCACACTCTGCACACCCACATCCATAAGATTGCCATCAATTGCAATTCCACGTAAGTTGTGCCAGCTTCTAATCACCTGTCCAAATTGTAACTGCATTTCTTATTGACAGTCGCGCTGCCATCATCGACAACTTGGGTGTGATGACTCTCTTGGATCTGGATGACAATCGAGAGACGCAGCTGAACTTTAGTCGAGTGGAACGCAAGGATGTTTGGGCTGTTAGCTGGGCCAAGGACAATCCTTTGCTACTGGCCCTAATGGAAAAGACGCGCATGTATATCTTTCGTGGCAACGATCCCGAAGAGCCCATCTCTTGCTCTGGATATATATGCACTTTCGAGGACTTGGAGATCACGAGCGTACTGCTGGATGACATCATTAGCTGCGGCGAGCTCCAGAATACATCGCATCTCATCCAGTTGAGGGTGAAGTCGTTGCGCGACACGGACGATCTGTTGGAGCATGTCGGACTCGAGGATGCCAAGCAGTTTATAGAGGATAATCCACATCCACGCCTGTGGCGTCTCCTGGCAGAATCGGCACTAAAGCAACTAGAATTGGAGACAGCTGAGAATGCATTTGTACGCTGTGCCAACTATGCGGGCATCAAGTTGATTAAGCGACTGCGAAATATCAGCTCACAAATATTGCAGAAGGCAGAGATTGCTGCCTTCTATGGGGAGTTTGATGAGGCTGAAAAGCTCTACATGGATGCGGACCGAAGGTTTGTTCAATCATCTAATATATAGCTATCACTAATCCTTCCATTGCTATTCAGGGATCTGGCCATTGATTTGCGCATGACTCTTTGTGATTGGTTTAGAGTGGTGCAACTTTATCGCATGGGCGGTGCCGGTGTTTCGGATCAGCAAATGGAAACGGCATGGCGTGAGATTGGACACCACTTTGCTAATCTGAAGTCCTGGGAGAGTGCCAAGGAGTACTATGAAAAGTCCCATTACCTAGAGGGCTCCATTGAATCTCTTTACCACTTGGAACAGTTTGATGAACTGGAGACGTTCGTCGACAAGCTGTCCGAGAAGAGTCCGCTGCTGACTAAATTAGCTGAGATGCTAGTCTCTGTTGGTACGAACTACGACTCCATATCTATTCGTTTGTTATTAACATTGATTTGTCATTAATGCAGGCATGTGCTCGGAGGCTGTATCAGCCTATCTGAAATTTGGGGATCCAAAGGCTGCCGTGAATGCGTGCGTGAATCTGCGTCAATGGGGCCAGGCCGTTGAGTTGGCTCAGAGGTATCAAATGCCCGAGGTGAACGTGTTGCTTAGCAAGCATGCAGCACAGCTCTTGAACGAAGGACGATTGCCGGAGGCAATTGAGCTGCAGCGTAAGGCCGGCAAGCATTTGGATGCAGCGCGTCTGCTGTGTAAGCTGGCCGAGCAGGAAGTGGAGAAGCGAGCCCCTTTGTTGCGCATCAAGAAGATATACATACTGGCTGCCCTGCTAGCTGAGGAGCATTTGAAGTCACTGGCCACTCCCCAATTGGATTATGCCATCGATCGCAATCGTTTGCTGGACGAGATTAGCTTGGAGGATGCCGCTTGTATTGAGCGTATCTGGCATTGTGCTGAGGGTTATCATTTTATGCTGCTCGCCCAGAGACAACTACGGTTTGGAATCATGCACAGTGCTGTGATCACATCCTTGCGACTGCGTGATTACGATGATGTCCTGCCTGTTGAGGATATATATAGCCTCCTGGCTTTGGCTAGTTGTGCAGACAGATCCTTTGACACTTGCTCCAGGGCATTCATGAAGCTGGAGTCCCTGGAATCGCTGCCCGAGAAGATGCAGCAAGAGTACGAGGAGCTGGCCGTAAGCATATTCTCCAAAAATGAGCCTGAGGATCACAAAGTGGACACCGTTGCTTGCTATGGCTGTGCAGCCCATGTGCCGGACAAGTGAGTGTTTAGTTTCGTATTCATTTTGGTATTTATTTTAATATTTTTTTAGTTTACCATCTTGCATGGAGTGTGGCGCACGTTTTCCGGGCTGTGTTTCCTCGGGCAAGCCCATCACCCAGCCGACGAGCAATATTTGGATATGTTCTACTTGCCATCACTGTGCATCGCCCATGGAGATAACAAGGCATCGGACATGCCCATTGTGCCACAGCCCCATTGCCTTAATAAAGTGAACATTATAAAATATTTGTTAAGCTGTTTTGTTTGTAAACAATGTACATCAATTATCGTTAAGTAAACAAGTGTTATATAGAACGCTTCGTTGGGTGAGTAAGTTGCATCGTTAAGTTGCCTGCTCTGAGTGACGCCACCTGTTGGAGCTTATGAAGAAAATCGCTATTATGAGCGACATCTGCTGGCAAAAGATTGAAACTTAATAGTTTGCTTAGTGTGGAGCACTTCGTGCATTATTCAACACTCAAGTTCGCGTAGTTCACAGCACTAGCTGTGTGAGTGGTAACCCGCCTGCAAATTGCTAGCAGAACTTGTGCCTGATTTAGTTATTAAAGCGAATCGTAAAATTTACGCTCTCACGTAAAAGTGTTACTCAAACGCATACAGCTGGCCACACAAAGTGCCTCCGGCGCCGCTGCAATCCCACAGGGTGCACGGTCTCCTGCCCAAACACCCTAACACCGCCTCCCCCTGCCAAATTGCACCGCTCAGCTGTTTTGCTGTTTCGCTGTTTGACTGGCTCCTGCAGGAGTGTTAAATTGTGTTAAATAGTGTTAAATTCAGTGATTTGTAGCTTAGTGAAGTCGCCTAGTTAGCCTATATAATACAGGTAAGTGTTGCATTTGCTTATTTTCTGGCTGGCAAGCGGCATTTTTTGCAATTCGACGCTTCTCCAAACGCGCGCCAAAAAGTTGCCAATTTGTTTTGGCTTGTTTTTTTTTGTGTGTGTGTTTAAAGTGCGCGCAAAACGCAGTGCGAAATGCTTTAGTGCAATACGCGTGTGCATCAAACGCGCGCTCGATACGGTCAAGGACGCACGTAATATTGTGCAAGGATAATGCAGGACGCTCTGCAAACTGCTGCAACCTGTTTACCTGTTCAGCTGACGCTGCTCCAGCCGCAACACCTGCCACACCTGCTGCTGCTTTGTCAAGGTGAGTGCGACACGTGCAGGCACGTGTATTATATACTTATTGGACACGTGCATTACTCAATCTCCATTAAACTTTTAGTTACTTTTTAGTCACTCTTTTGGTTGCCTTATCCTTAAGCATGTAAAGCAATCCCTTGATTTTCTTTTAACATCTCTCAGTTCCTCACGCACTGCCACCCACTATTTATTTACATATTTACCCATTAAAAATTGATAAAGCAGGGCATATCGATTTAGCTCTACTTTTTGTAACATGCACCCGTTAACTGATTTTATACCTATTAAAAATAAATGTAAATAGGGCATGTTCATTTAGATCAAGTGTATGTAAAAGGCATTTATACTCATTAAAATTGAATAAAGTCGGGCATATTGATTTGTCACCCATGTATGCAACACTCATACAGACTTACTTCATCAGTCTTCATTGATTTAGTCTGACATATTGTTATTCGGTTACGCTTTGCAGGGTATCTCATAGTCGTGCAATCGCCACTAAAGCGCTTTTACGTGCTGTGCAATTCACTCGCACTCGCGCTTACACTCGATGTTTTTTCTGCTCTTTGATTGTTATTTTTATAAGCAATAAGTTTTGTTTTCAATTTTCCGTTTTTCTCTCTGAGTGGAAATTATTTGTTGTTAGCATTTTCTTTGCTTTTCTTTGCACTTGCTCGAATTTCGAATTTTCCGAGCAAGGCACTCGCTCGCCTTCTGTTCGCTTTGGCCGCTATTCAGTTTGACTTTTGTTGTGTGTTCGTGCGCGTCGCGTCGACGGATTTTCCGTTTGCCATTTTTCCGTAACATTTTCCGCCGTACTTTTCGCCTCTTGCTGCTGTCTGACAAATCGAAAGTATATATATATACATATATATATATATATATATATATACGTGAATATATTGTGATCTGTTGTGGATTCTTTAAGAATTTCAAGTGGTTTTTGAAGCAAGTTTTCGATTGTATTATCTAAAATCGTGTATGCGCCCAGTTAACCAAACGCGTTGTCGGCTTCGTTTGGACATCGCAGCGCTAATTGGATTGTCAACAGTTTAAGCCCCTTTGTCTGTCACAACATATTCCAGAGAAACAGGCAGAGAGTGAGCGCCAACTTCGCATAACTTCAACACGGCATAGCATAACAATCAATAGTAGCTATTGTTTTTTGTCATTGTTTTTCACACTTTACTCTTTGCGCCATGTACTGTGCCCTACAACGTGCTGCACGAGTTTCTGTGACAACGTGCACCGAACCGATGTAAATCCAGCCACAACAAACCGACACCAAATCCCAAAATCGAAGCAGCAGCAAAGCCTTATTTCAACGGCATTTCTAAGACATTTCCCGTTAACTTTCGGATACTTTGGATAGCGCCAAATTTGAATGCCGTAAAGTACAACTCATAAGTGTAAGTATTCTAATGCATTAGACTTGGTATTACCCGGCGTTGCTCGGCATAATTTAGAGTATAGAGGCTGGAAGTTTCTGTATTCTAAGTTAGGTATATATTTTTAGAATGTGAAACTTTTTGAATGTCTAAAAAACTATGCCTGATAACAAAGTTGCTTTAGAAATGTGAATGTCTATATTAGAAATATATAGCATTTTTATAGCGTGTTGATAATTTCAAATATTTTATTTATTCGTTAAGTTTCTTACCAGATTGAAGCATAAAGTTTGTATATTGGTTAGATATTTTTGGAGAAGAGTAGATAGAAGGCATATTTCTTAGAGATTAAAGAGCCTCTATAAGATATATATATATATAATAAATTATAAACGATTTTTCATTCATTATTTGATTGTAGATTGAAATTTCTATACTGGAAATATTTTGATATATAAACTATAATATTTCTTCTTTTCCCATGTCAATAGAGTTGCGATATCTAGCTTTTAGTTCAAGCAATATTAATGCTCATAGAGTGGATCTCATCTGATACCAGCCTACCTGATGCTCGATATTTCTCGATCACTTGTCGGCCCAGTTGCTGGTTGTTTATAAACACTTTTTTAGCATATCCGCTATTGTTTTGTGTCTGTAACAATGCTTCCATCATGCATCAGTTTCACTGTACATACATACATACATATATATGTGTATATGTATATTTATATATACAGATACACATCTATATGCTACTCTATGCTCGCTATTTTGAACTTACAGCCAGATTGGTTTGCCCATAGTTTATTTTTTGTTAGTTCTTTTTTTCTCTTTCTCTTGTTTTTGAAACAGTTTCCATTAAGTTTTGCAGCTGTCTAAAATTGGATCAGTGCGTCGGCAATTAAGCCCCGCAGGGCTGTGTATTAGAAAACGCCTCGAAGTAGCGCTGCCGGTCTAGGCGCAATGGGCAAATTTCAATTCAATTCAATTGCTAGACCAAAATTACTTGCCTCATTTACTTACATTACTATTTGCCCTATAGCTTGTAATATATTTATGTTCTTAATTAAGTTTTGACTTAAATTTAAAGTGAACAAACGCATTCCTATTTGATTCTCATGCTCCAATGCTAGACACAAGCGTTGCGTTTTTAGTTTAAGTTCTTCTTCACAGTGACCTAGTGACTACCAAAATGTACAAACTGTGAATTCAGTGGATACAAATCGCTCTTCTAAGCGATTCTCATGCCATACAAATCACAAATATTTGCATAGATACTCTTGGAACACATCATATACATATATATATATGTTTATGCGCCAAGCAATAAATTATCTTTCTTTTTTCTCAAGTGACAGCTGCCTTCTATGTGATTCTCATGCATTGAACAAGAACAATGATAATCTTCTCCGATAAGCTCAATATAGAATATGAAATGAATAAGTATATTTATCTTATAAATAAACTTACTGTTTTCTCTTGCACTTAACATAACAAGCGTCTTCTATGCGATTCTCAAAAGCTTAATTTTCAGCTACACTTGAAACAATTTTACATATGGTCTATTAATGTTTTAGCTTTATTTCTATGGCGAATGTATCTTTTGAGCACAAATGTCAAATATTGCTTTTTAAGGGTCAGCGGCTAAATATTTCTGTGCCCTCTTCACTTGCACACATATCTCAATACTATATGTTGTCTATGTGTTTGTATTTTATTTCATTTCTATGCATTTTCTTCTTCTTCTTTGCCTTTGCGGCTGGCCAAAAGTCGAGCTCTGAGTCATTTGGTCTTGGTCAACTTATCATGCGAGGCTTTCGCTTGGGGTTGCAAAGCTTTCGACTGCATTCAGCGAGTTGTCTGAGAGAAAAAAGTAACTTAAGCAGACGTCATCAATTACGCCCAAAAAATCTATTTTCTGGCCTCTGTCCAAATTTTGTTTTAGCGAAAGAAAATAGTAAAAATATAATAAAACATTTAAATGTTTTTCTTTGTTAACATTTCGAAGCCTTTTAATATAGTTGTCGATAATCTATTATATATATAAAAATGTTTATTTAGCGGTTTTAAAAAGCATTGAAAGTAGTTCAATAAACTATTTAATACACTTAGAGAAACAAGTTTGCAGTTTTCTATTATAAATTTGTCAGCTTGAGTCAAGTTGTTCTTTCAAAAAATTCTGCTTAAATTAGGCAATTTTTAATTTTTTTAAGCACAATTCACTGTATCTTTTCTCTGCGTACACATTTACAAATCTTATGGGAATAACGTATTTTGGGCTTTTCATTTTATTTTTGAATTTTCATTTGAATTCTTTTTTCTTTCTGAACAGATTTTCATAAAAATAACGAGTCGAATTGACGTCAAATTGTTTATGCAGCTCAAGGCGTATCGTCTGTATATATATATATATATATATATATATATATATATATATATGTACATATATCTTTATATCTCTGACTTTATGGTTGTATTCACCTATTATTGGTAGGTTAAGGAAATTAAATGTTGCGCTTAATTTGCATGCAGCTCAGGCATTGGCATCAATATCGAAACTTTTGCCAAACAAACACAACGCAACGCCAATATCAATTAGGGATTTGCGACTGTGACGCTCTGGTATAATTTGCCATTTTCTATTTTACGCATATAGATATATATTTTTGTGGAGTGCTGCACATGCGACACGCGCACTTCCGTCACACAAATATTTTCAACATTTTCGCAGAAAATCTTGAAAAAAATATATATGTAGATTGTTTGTCTGCCTGTCCAAATGTCAAAATAAAGTGACATATTGTTACAGTCTGAACTGGCTGTTTATAGCATCAAGCCCAGTGCATGTGGGTGAACAGGGTATATTGGGTTTCATGAAATATTTGCAGAAGCCCTATATATATATATTCTTGATGATGGAGTTGATCATATTCATCTCTAGATCTAGAGACTTAAAATATTGCCTTGAACCGATAACTTCACCATTTCTATGAAATCGATCAGAAATGATCGAAAATGTATGAATGGTTGGCAGGTAGAGCCCTCAAGACATATGTATTCTTGATGAGTATCAAGAGGCATCTCCATCTGTATGCATGTCTAAAAGATCAATAGGCTTGAAGTTTGAAATACAAGCCATAAGATTTCGTTTTTAAATAATCGATCACTTGGCCTGGCATAGCATGGGTATCTGGTAGTCGAGCACTTCCAATGCTACAACTCCTACTTGTTATTATCAGGGTCGTTTTACGAACTGCTGAAAATCCTGCGCTGTCTTATTTATTTTCTCGCATAATTAAAGCTTTTTGAAAAATGAAAAATTTTGTGAAACAAATCAAAATCTTAAGAAAAATTGCTTTTAAAAGAATATTTTAGTATTTAAGTATTTATTTGAAATGAATTCAAATATATAATAAAAACGCTTCGCAGGCTAATAAACTTGCTCGCTCAACAAATTCCTCGAGTCAACAAATTCAGAAATATAAAAATAAAACTCGCTAATTTATGTGGTTTAAAAATACAAAAAATATACAAAAAAAAATCGATCCTTGGGATAGTTTTGCATATGATTTCATTAGATCTTCTGCCATTTCCATAGATCCAATGCAGTCTGAATCGAAAATCGTTATTCAACATCTATATATAGTCTGTATCTCGTCTTCTGTTTGCTTGTTGTGGATACGTCGAACTGGGTCAATACAAGTTGGGGCATGTGCTAAATGTTGCCTTTATTTGGCTAGCATTGGGGTCAACAGTAGTAAAAGATAGGCCGCTGTCATGACAACACACTGTGCCTACTTCTCCCGTTCCAATTCCCGCGATAAACAATTCAATTAAAACAATTGCCCAGGGCCAAACTCAAGGCACCCACGGCGCTACGTCAATGCGTTTTGCATTGCGTGTGGGTCTTTAAGACAGACTGAATTCAACTGTAATCGCAGTGTTTAGTAGATAAGGATAACAGTAACTGTGCGCAAGGTACTAGCAGTGTGCTTTGAAAGTTTTCGCTTCTACTTTGGTAGCATGAGCCGGAAATGTTTCACTCTTCCTTGATCGTATTTCAGCGAGCGTAATAGTAGTCGTTCGTAAAGTATGCCAAGCTTGGTCATTGGAAGGTATGGCATTCAAAAGGTTCTTTTCGGAATCATTTTCAATCTTTAAGCATTGATGTTTTTGTTGCATAGTCAAATGTAAATAGATTTATAGTCGCGCTATGCCCGACTCAA